GATGTGGTGGCCCTGGGCCGCTGCAGCCTGCGCACACTAAGCCGCTGCAGCCTGCACTCGGCCAGCCCAGCCTCAGTCCGCTCGCTGGGGCGCTTCTCCTCGGTCTCCAGCCCACAGCCCCGCAGCCGCCACCCGTCCTCCTCCAGTGACACCTGGAGCCACTCTCAATCCTCCGACACCATTGTGTCTGACGGTTCCACCCTCTCCTCTAAGGGTGGCTCTGAGGGCCAGCCGGAGGGCTCTATGGCTAGCAATAGCATGGCACCCCCTCCCCAGGGAGGCAGTGGGAGGGGCTCCCCCAGTGGGGGCAGCACCGCTGAGGCCTCAGACACACTCAGCATTCGGAGCAGTGGGCAGTTGTCTGGCCGGAGTGTGTCCCTACGTAAGCTGAAGCGGCCTCCACCCCCTCCCCGCCGGACCCACTCCCTCCATCAGCGGGGCTTAGCAGTGCCTGATGGGCCCTTAGGGTTGCCCCCTAAGCCTGAGCGTAAGCAGCAGCCCCAGCCACCTCGGCCACCCACCACTGGTGGCTCAGAAGGGGCGGGGGCAGCACCCTGTCCACCCAACCCAGCAAACAACTGGGTACCTGGCTTGTCTCCGGGTGGCTCCCAGCGCCCCCCACGCTCCCCAGAACGGACGCTTTCACCTTCCAGTGGATACTCGAGCCAAAGTGGTACTCCCACCCTCCCTCCCAAGGTCCTGGCAGGTCCCCCTGCTTCCCCAGGCAAGGCCCAGCCCCCTAAACCAGAGCGTGTCACGTCCCTTCGCTCCCCTGGGGCCTCCGTCTCCTCTTCCCTCACGTCTCTATGTTCCTCCTCCTCTGACCCAGCCCCCTCAGACCGCTCTGGGCCACAGATGTTGACCCCCCTGGGTGACAGGTTTGTCATACCTCCTCACCCCAAGGTGCCTGCCCCCTTCTCTCCACCTCCCTCCAAGCCCAAGAGCCCTAACCCAGCTGCCTCTGCTCCAGCTGCCCCTGCTATGGTTCCTGGGCCTGTTTCTACCACTGATGCCAGTCCCCAGTCCCCTCCCACTTCCCAGACAACCTTGACCCCACTGCAGGAGTCTCCTGTCATCTCCAAAGACCAGTCACCCCCCCCATCCCCCCCCCCATCTTATCATCCACCCCCACCACCCACTAAGAAGCCAGAGGTGGTTGTGGAGGCACCATCTGCCCCAGAGACTGCTGAGGAGCCCCTCCAAGATCCCAACTGGCCCCCACCCCCACCCCCTGCCCCTGAGGAGCAGGACCTGTCCATGGCTGACTTCCCCCCACCTGAGGAGGCCTTTTTCTCTGTGGCCAGCCCTGAGCCTGCAGGCCTTTCAGGCTCCCCAGAGCTTGTCAGCTCCCCGGCTGCTTCGTCCTCCTCAGCTACTGCTTCGCAGAGTCAGCCCCAGGGTAGCCCAGACCCTCCTCCAGCTCCGCCAGCCCCAGCTCCTGCTAGTTCTGCCCCAGGGCATGTGGCCAGGCTCCCTCAGAAGGAACCGGTGGGCTGCAGCAAAGGCGGTGGGCCTCCCAGGGAGGACGTAGGTGCGCCCCTGGTCACGCCTTCGCTCCTGCAGATGGTGCGGCTGCGCTCTGTGGGTGCTCCAGCAGGGGCTTCCACCCCAGCACTGGGGCCATTGGCCCCCCAGAAACCACTACGAAGGGCCCTGTCAGGGCGGGCCAGCCCAGTGCCTGCCCCCTCCACAGGGCTCCATGCTGCCGTCCAACTCAAGGCCTGCAGCCTGGCCACCAACGAAGGCCTCTCAAGTGCCCAGCCCAACGGACCGCCTGAGGCAGAACCACGGCCTCCCCAGTCCCCTGCCTCGACGGCCAGCTTCATCTTCTCCAAGGGCACTAGGAAGCTGCAGCTGGAGCGGCCCATGTTCCCTGAGACCCAGGCTGACCTCCAGCGGAATCTGGTGGCAGAACTCCGGAGCATCTCAGAGCAGCGGCCACCCCAGGCCCCAAAGAAGTCACCTAAGGCTCCCCCGCCTGTGGCCCGCAAGCCATCTGTGGGAGTCCCCCCACCCGCCTCCCCCAGTTACCCTCGAGCTGAACCCCTTACTGCTCCTCCCACCAATGGGCTCCCTCACACCCAGGACAGGACTAAGGGGGAGCTGGCGGAAAATGGAGGTGTCGTGCAGCTGGTGGGTCCAGAGGAGAAGATGGGCCTCCCGGGCTCAGGTACAGTGGGCAGTGCTAGGGTGGGGTCCCATTGCTGATGATAGGAAGTGGGAATCTGAAGTCCCGTCATGGGGTATTTGCTCTTGGATCTTTAATTTTATGGTCTGAGAATGCCTGGGAAGGGCAAGCTATCACCCTTGCTGGGCCCCAGAGGAGGAGAATGGTGTGTGAGTGTCAGGCCTACTGTGTCTGAATTCCAAGGTTCAATAGCCAAATTCCTGGCTAATTTTGTATCTTTCCCTGCCCTTCCTAGCTACATTGTAAAGTGTGGGCCAGTGACACCTACATTATAGTGTCTGAACATTTGTAGGGTGTCCAGCCCAGTGCTGCAGGCATAGTAAGTCAAAGGGGTAACAAGGTTGGGTGAGGGTATGCCTTGTTGGGCTCTTAGTGCCAGAACTAAGCCAGGAGGCCCCTTGCTAAGTGTCCCTTCTTTTTCTCCCCTAGACTTACAGAAAGAGCTGGCCTGACCACCAGGCACCTCACTGGCACTGCTGACCCATCCCAGAAACACAATCTCAGGGACCCGAGCAGCTCCAAGGACGAGAGGATACAGCAGACACAACCTAATAGAGAGGGCGCCTGCAGCCTTAACCTCCATGGCCTTCGATATTTATGCAAGCCTGGTGTTGCTCCTGTCCTCCGAACCATTCCGCGCTCATGCCTTTTCCCGAATGGGGTCACCTCCGGCAGTTGCCGCTTCAGTCTTGGCCTTAGCCTCATCTTGAAGGAGGTAGCTGGCGGGAGAGGGTGGCTGCGCCCCCTGCTGGCCCTGAAGCCGCAGAGTTGGGAGCAGGACACCTCATCTGAGTTTCTTTTTTTTTCATGTCCAAACCATGCACACACTATAGTCCAGAATCAAAGCACTTTTGAAAAGTGGCTGCATGGCCATCCTCCAGGGCCCAGGAAGTTGCATTCCAAGGGCCTGTTTACATGGCAGCAGAATCCATCCCCAGCAGCCAGCCCATAGCTTGAGACCAGTCTGTGCCCTCCTGCCCAATCCAGTTTACTCCTTCTCTTGCTTGGTTCCTGGAGGTGGCCAAGTTATTTTGTTCCCACAGGCTTCTCTAGGCTGGGGGCAGGGGTGGGGCTGTGGAATTCCAAAGCACAAAAGGTGCAGAGAGGATTAGCCTTCCTGTGCCTCAACTCACCAACCACCCTCCTGCCTTCCAGTTCTGCCAGGTGCTCCATGCTGGGGACAAGTAGGAGACTGCCAGGGCCCAAAGAGATGGGTGAGCAGAAGAGCAGTAGAGTCATCTCGGGGCACTTGGCAGTGTCAAGCACCTGCCCCTTGCCTCCTTGACCACACTGGGGTGGGTGGGCACCCAGCACTTCAGAGGCAGGAGCCTTTGGGCTGAGCAAGCACCGAGGAGGTGGATGGAAGGGAGCATCTGGAGGGGGAGAGCTTCCTTGAGCAGTAGGCCCAGGCCTGGCCCTCCACACTTCATTCTCTGACCTTTCTCTCTACTCGTGTCGGTGGATGTCCTTTCTGCAGCTGCTTTTCAGCACAGGTGGTTCCACTGGGAGGAGCTAATGCCGAGTGACAAGGATGGGAAGCCACAGGTGCATACTCAAGTCTTCCCTAGTCGGTGAGGGACATCTAGTGCTCCTAGGGCAGGCTGGGTCGTGGTCCCCTAGGTATCAGCCTTTCTTACTGCACTCTCCTCCAGGAATGTTAACCTTTCTATTTTCAGCCTGTGCCACCTGTCTAGGCAAGCTGGCTTCCCCACTGGCCCCTGTGGGTCCATAGCAGCGTGGCTGCCCCCCAGGGCCACCCCTTCCTTCTTGATCCTCTTTCCTCAACAGTGACTTGGGCTTGAGTCTGGCAAGGAACCTTGCTTTTAGCTTCACCACTAAACAGAGAGGTTGACATGACCTCCCCGCCCCCTCACCAAGGCTGGGAACAGAGGGGATGTGGTGAGAGCCAGGTTCTCCTCTGGCCCTCTCCAGGGTGTTTTCCGCTGGTCACTACCATCTTCTCCTCGTAGCTAATCAATCAATATTCTTCCCTTGCCTGTGGGCAGTGGAGAGTGCTGCTGGGTGTACGCTGCACCTGCCCACTGAGTTAGTAAAGAGGATAATCGGTGAGCACTGTTCTGCTCAGAGCTCCTGATCTACCCCACCCCCTAGGATCCAGGACTGGGTCAAAGCTGCATGAAACCAGGCCCTGGCAGCAGCAACCTGGGAATGGCTGGAGGTGGGAGGGAGCCTGACTTCTCTTTCCCTCTGCTTCCTCCAACGTTACTGGAACTCTTCATCCTGTTAGATCTTCTGAGCTTGTTTCCCTGCTGGGTAGGACAGAGGACACAAGGAGAAGGGAGGGTCTAGAAGAGGCAACCCTTCTTTGTCCTCTGAGGTAAATGAGCTTGACCTAGAACAAATGGAGAGACCAAAAGCCTCTGATTTTTAATTTCCATAAAATGTTAGAAGTATATATATACATATATATATTTCTTTAAATTTTTGAGTCTTTGATATGTCTAAAAAAATCCATTCCCTCTGCCCTGAAGCCTGAGTGAGACACATGAAAAAAACTGTGTTTCACTTAAAGGGGTTAATTAAATGATTGAAACTTGGCTGTGCCTATTGCTTCTTAATGCGGGGGGGACAGGACAGTGGCCTGGGCCCACATTTAGAAGGGAAAATGTTTTGCCTGCTGCACACATTGGACCCAAGTATGGGCCTCTTCTGCCTAGTACTGCCAAAGGGACTGTCAAGGTCCATCTTATACCCCCCACCCCCCCATTACAGGGTAAAGGAACCCCAGACTAGGTGAGGGGCCATCAGCTGCCTCACACTTGTGTTCTCTCCTGAGATGGTACAGCTTACATCCAGACACCCTTGTTCAGACATTTTATTTGAATTTATGACAATGATGGGGATTGAACTGAGATGCCTTATGGAGAAGTACCCCACCCTCTCTGAAGACAGAATCACTCCCTGCCATTCATTCTGCCTGATGCTAACACGCAGCTGGTTTAGGGAATGTCCCAGGCTAGCTGGATCAAGGGAAATTCCAAGAGCCCTGGGGCAGGCCCTGCCCCCCAGTGCCAAGCCTCAGTGTAAGCAGACGTTGGGAAAGCTGCCAACCACTTGGTAGACCACTAGGTTCTCTGTTTTCCCTTCCCTTTCCTTTTCAAATCCCACAGTTTCCTGTTGGGGAGAAGCTGTAATTAGCCCAGTCCAGGTACTAGATCCCAGCTAGAGGCACAGCTGCTGGGATAACTCCAAGAAAACCTGGGCACCAGTATTTTTCCAATTACAAGGACTGTGGCATAGATTTTTAAGTGAGTTATACTGAAACCAGATTTCTCCAGCTGCCAAGGGAAGAAGGTAGGGCTGGACTCCCTGCTGCGGCCCAGCCCTTGTTAGGGGTCGGTCTCTCACTGTAGCCAGACAGGATGATCCTGGGTTCCGGGGAGGGTGAGCTGCCCATTGCTGATTTCTGCACCGAATAAAGAGTCCAAACCCGCTGCTTCCATGTCCTGAGAGATGGGCAGATGGGTGATGGATGGAGCAGACTGCAGAGAGCAGATGACACGGTGGTGGAAGAAGGGAGGAAGATGCTGGGCTGGCTAGCTAATGTTCCCCCCTTTCAGCGATTTACAGGAAATGGACCCCAGCTTGGTCATGAAGTTGGTTTGCTTCCACTGTGCGATGCACTCCTCAGAAATTTTAAAGTCAGCCTGGACAAGATAGATAAAAATGATTTTAATGATGGTGGTGGGACTGCAAGAAAACCCTTTTTTTTTTTTTTTTTTTTGAGGCAGAGTTTTGCTCTTATTGCCCAGGCTGGAGTGCAATGGCATGATCTCGGCTCACCACAACCTCTGCCTCCCAGGTTCAAGTGATTCTCCTGCCTCAACCTCCTGAGTAGCTGGCACTACAGGCAGACACCACCACACCCAGCTAATTTTGTATTTTTACTAGACATGGGGTTTCTCCATGTTGGTCAGGCTGGTCTTGAACTCCCGACCTCAGGTGATCCACCTGCCTTGGCCTCCCAAAGTGCTGGGATTACAGGCGTGAGCCACCGCGCCCAGCCTGAAAACTCTCTTATATACCAGTAGGGTAAGCTGGCTCAGCTTTTCTAAGAGATGTTTGTCAAAAGCTTTCACATTCATCTTTTGACTCAAGTAAGTTCATTTTAGGGAGTTAGTTTAAGAAAATAAACCTAAGTGCAAAGGCCTATGCACCAAGACATCTGTCACAGTCACATCATTCTAACAGTGAAAAACAGAACAACCTCAATGTCTAGTAAGAGTTTAGATTTTGATAATTATGGTAGAATACTATACAGTGCAACCCCTTGATTTTTTTTTTTTTTTTTTTTTTGAGATGGAGTTTTGCTCCTATTGCCCAGGCTGGAGTGCAATAGCATGATCTCGGCTCACCACAACCTCTACTTCCCAGGTTCAAGCGATTCTCCTGCCTAAGCCTCCTAAGTAGCTGGGATTACAGGCATATGCCACCATGCCTGGCTAATTTTGTATTTTTAGTAGAGATGGAGTTTCTCCATGTTGGTCAGGTTGGTCTCGAACTCCCGCCCTCAGGTGATCTGCCTTCCTCAGCCTCCCAAAGTGCTAGGATTAGAGGCGTGAAAGAAATCATGGCCAGGAGGCTCGGCGCAGTGGCTCATGCCTGTAATCCCAGCGCTTTGGGAGGCCCAGGTGGGTGGATCACGAGGTCAGGAACTTGAAACCAGCCTGGCCAACATGATGAAACCCCATCTCTACTAAAAATACAAAAATCAGCTGGATGTGGTGGCAGGCACCTGTAATCCCAGCTACTTAGGAGGCTGAGGCAGGAGAATTGCTTGAACCTGGGAGGCGGAGGTTGCAGTGAGCTGAGATTGTGCCACTGCACTCCAGTTTGGGCGACAGAGCAAGACTCCATCTAGGAAAAATAAATAAATAAAATAAAATAAAAATCATGGCCAGGTACAGTAGCTCATGCCTATAATTCCAGTGCTTTGCAAGGCTGAGGCGGGAGAATCACTTGAGTCCAGGAGGTTTACAGGCTTGAGGTTACAGGGAGCTATGATGGTACCACTGTAATCCAGCTTGGGTGAGAGTGAGACCCTGTTTCTAATTAATAAACAGCATTTAGTATGACAAACTGTAAACGTATTATCACTCCAAGCATAGCAAAAGACCAGAAGGAAATAATCACTAATGACATTCTTTAGTATCTCTAGGTGGCAGGACTAGGATATTGTGGTTTTTCTGTTTGTTTTTCTCCTATATTTTAGATGTTTTCTACCATGAAAATTTATTTTATAGCCAGAAAAAAGAGATTCACAAAGTCAGCCTAGAAAACCAGGAAAGGAGGGAGTAGGCAAAGCAAATGGCCTCGTGCAAGAGGATGGAGAGTAGAAACGACTCTCAGTGTCCTCCAGAAGCACTTACCTATCTCACTGAAGAAACACGGTATTAACTAGAAAGAGTCACCCATAAGTGTTAGTTCCATGAGGAGAGTCAACTCCTACTGCTTTATTCATTGAGGTAGGCCAAGCACCCAGAATACTGCCTGACACCTACATTATGGACTCGGTATTCGTTAAATGAATGAATGAATAAATTCAAGGATCACTGGGGCAGGCCAGATCTTCATTGTCCAGAAAGCAAGGAGACGACGAGTGCTCTAAACTCAAGGTGGGCAGGAGGGACCCTGGGAAGGTTTTGATCCAGGCCTTATCATTTCTTTTCTTTTTTTTTTTTTGAGACGGAGTTTCACTCTTGTTGCCCAGGCTGGAGTGCAATGGCATGATCTTGGCTCACTGCAACCTCTGCCTCCCAGGTTCAAGCAATTCTCCTGCCTCGGCCTCCGGAGTAACTGGGATTATAGGCGCCCACCACCAGGCCCGGCTAATTTTTTGTATTTTTAGTAGAGACAGGGTTTCACCACGTTGGCCAGGCTAGTCTTGAATTCCTGACCTCAGGTGATCTGCCTGCCTTGGCCTTCCAACGTGCTGGGATTATAGGAGTGAGCCACCGCACCTGGCCCTGCCCTCATTATTTCTGGTGACCCTATGTGGCCTTGTCAGGTAACCTGCCAGGTAAAATGGGGATAATCTCCTATCACAGACTGAAGATCAAATGAAGAAATGTCTGAAGTCCCTCACACAGGGCCTCAAATGATCTGTCGGAGATGTAATGCAAGGTCCTAAGACCCCCATGCTCCTCAGGCACCTTGAATTCAGAAAGATCTGGAAAGGAGGAGGAAGAGAGGGACTCAAATGCAGGAAGTCCCAACAGAGAGGGGCAGCTATGGCTTCAGTAACAGGACAGTCTGGAGACACAGTCCAGGCAGCCCGGCCAAGAAGAACAATTACAGCTTTTTACCTGCAACTTCTCGAAGACTTTCTTCTTGGGCTTGAGCTCCTCATCTGGTTGGCCCTTTTCATAGCCCTTCACAAACACGCGCTCACCAGGAGCAGAGCCTGCCGGAGGGTCCAGAGGTTCAACCTGGCGGTTTATCCCTTCTCTGGGAAGACACACAGGACAAGGGAAGGGTGAGGTTATGGATGGGTTCCAGTGACTGTGGAGGCCAAAGCAATCTGGGCCTTTACACAGGGGCCTGATGGGATTTAGGGCATCCTCAGTACCAGAGCCCCAGGAGGTCCTCTTATCTTGCTACATCTCTGCACATCACCAGGGTTAGATTAACCCAGGCTATACCAAAATTGTGTGTCAGGAGAGATACCAAAATCTGTGTTTCTAGGGGAGGAAGTATAAAATAACATAGCAAGGACTTTATATAGACATCAAAACTGGGATTTGAATCCCTGCACCACTCCTTACTAGTAGTAAGACTTGGACATGTACTGGTTTGAGCCCTCCATTTCTATTTTAACAAAATTAACTGTAGGTAAAATGCTTCATTCACAGTACTTGTACAGTAAGTCCTTCATGCATCAACTTTTGGCATCAGCGAGGAAGAGGCACGTGTTCTCACAGCTTCCACCTGGTGTGTGGAAGGACTTCATATGGGCTGATTCCCCACTCTTCCTGGCCTCCCCAGGTCCTGTGCCCCACCCCAAGTCCTCACTCACATAGAAGCACACAGAAGCATGCCTTGGGACTCGACTCCTCTCATCTTCTGGGGTTTCAGGTTGCAGAGCACCACTACCAGCCTGTCCTGAAGTTCCTCTTTGGGCACGAACTGTACCAGGCCGCTCACCACAGTCCGTGGTTCAGCTTCCCCCACGTCAATCTTCTCCACATATAGGCTGTCTGCATCTGGGTGCTGCCAGGGAGATGTCAGGAGGAAGAGCATCATTATCCATTAGAAAAGCAGCCTGGTGAACTCTTGGATTCCAGAAAGGAGCACCCACTCCTTACAGAGGCCCTGGAAGGACCCCCTAGAGCTAACTTTCTTTCTGGGTCCCAGACAGCAGACAGGAGAATGGGCTCTGAAGGTATATTCTGCTCTCAACTGAGGCCAGATTTGAGTAAAATGGACCTAGATGCTCGTGTTAAGAGGTGGAAGGATCTCTAATAGAGATTAAACGACCCAGACTGTCTAGATGGCTACCATTATGGTGCACGTGCTGCACCAGACAGGTCCTAGGTGGGCTGGGAGATGGGAGGGGGACAATTGCTGGCCTTGCCATCTGATGCAGGAGCACCAGAATTGATCTCAGGGTGGTTTTGGTGGCTGGGGTACACAGTGAGAAGCAAATCAATGCTGAAGGGAAAAAAAGCCCAGAACAATGGTCCCAGGCCACTGGGTGCATAACCTTCTGTCTCTGGGAAAAAGGAAGTCGTCTTCCCTCTACCACTTTCTGAAGGGGGCAAAGTGGCCCATCCAAGATGAGGCCTGTAGCTAGTCCAGGCAAGCTGATGGGGATCAGATGAGTCCATCAGACCAGATTTAACAGATAAACAAGTTCCCTCTGACTAACATCCGTCCCCCATGCCGAGTTCCTGGCTGTGTTTGGTTGCGTAATGTCCACAGGCAACAATCGCAACAGAAAGCCTGATGCCTGGAATTAGACACCTGCACTCTGACTTGCAATATGACCTCAGGATGTTACTTCCCATCTCCAGGCCACATTTCCTCCGGATGGAAACAGACAAACCTGACCCCATCTCCCTCTCTGAGATGTGGTGAAAAATGAGTACCTTCTCCACAGTGATGATTTTCCCCACACGGATATCCAGCCGGGATGGGATGACCTCCTCTGGTTCTGAATTCTTGGCAGGGCCTTTGGCCATTGGCTCTAGGAATGAGAAGAACCCCATGAGGTAGAATTCTTCCCTGTGGCAGATCAGCTGCTGATCCCACCACGTGAAGACACTGATATTAGGTAAGATTTAGTGTAGAATCCCCAGAGTCTACTGAGTTATAACTTCTTTAATACTGGGTTGGCAACCTTTCAGACATGACAAACCTGATTTTCATCTGTTCTCTCCCTCAATTATTAGACTAGAGGGGAGGGAGCAGTAGTAACTTTGCCTCCTTTAGGTATTTCCATTCATGCATTCTATATAGAATTTGCTGAGTCTTGGCCAGGTGTGGTGGCTCACACTTGTAATTCTAGCACTTTGGGAGGCCAAGGCGGGAGGATTGCTTAAGCCCAGGAGCTAAAGACCAGCCTGGGCAACAGAGCCAGACCGTCTCTTTTTGAAAAATTTAAAAAAAAAAAAAAAAAAAAAAAAAAAATTTTACTCAGTTACTTAGTTTTTTTCTAGAAGGGTCGCATAAAGCTATCAAGGCCAGTATCTCAGCATTTTGCATAAGTGGATGGCCAACTAAGAGCTAGGCCTATGCACATAGAAGGAAACTGGGAGAATCTAAAGATAAGCTTCTCTAAGCTCTGCAGGCTCTGCCCAACAGCTGTATAAGAGATTGTCGATACCCTATATACCAGTTGGGTATAATAGGTCTAACCTAATTTCTATCATTTTTCCTTTTTTGAGACATAGAGTCTCAAAACAGAGTCTCAACTCTGTTGCCCAGGGTGGAGTGCAGTGGTGCAATCATGGTTCAGTGCAGTGTCAACTTCCCCATGCTCAGGTGATCCTCTCACCTCAGCCTCCCAAGTAGCTGGGACTACAGGCATGTGCTACTATGCCCGGCTAATTTTTTTTTTTTTTGGGGGGGCGGGTAGAGACTGGGTTTTGATCTCTAACTTTTGGGCTCAAGTGATCCACCTGCCTCAGCCTTCCAAAGTGTTAAGATTACAGGTGTGAGCAACTGTGTCTGGCCCCAGTCACTATCTTTAATGAAGAGGCAGATAATGAAGAGGCAGATTTAGCCAACAGACTAGAAGAACCAAAGTATGCATCTTACACCAGCAGCTCTCAGCAATGCTGGTACAAAAGGATGTGATCACTTCCTGGTGTTCACCAAACCCAAATCAAAATGACTCAAGTTCCATTCTAGGAGCCAGTAGGACGTGACATTCCTGCACTCAGACCCCCTGGGTTGTTTTGCCTTCAACTGAAGACAGGCATTTTTCCAAGGCTCATTGACAAGTTCCCTCTCCTGATGACATCGGCCCCTTTCCGGCTGGCCTTACTCTGCTTCGAGGGATCTGGGTAGGCAGCGCTGGCCAGTTTCTTCAGGGCAGGGGTATTAAACTTTTCCCGGATTGGATCCAGCAACTTGTTCAGCGCGACTTCAACAGAATTCTTCAGGTCTCCAGGATGTACAACCTGCAGAATCAAACAAGACCTAGTGAGATAAGGTCTAGAACAGGGCACAGGACACCTGAATCCAAGAAAGTAGGATCAAGGGAGTTTTTCCCAACAGTCTTATTTGATCCTTGTGATAATCTTGTGAGGCAGGTAGAAGAGAGAAGGGAAAACACATTCAGAAAGACTAACGTGTCCGAAATCCAAGTCTTTTGATTCTGAAATCTATACTAACTTGAGGGTGTTTAGGAGCTGAATGTATTTGTTAGTCTAATTCTTCTAGTCCCTCCATTTATGCTTAGAGTAGGGTCACAGACCAAGTGGTATTTACAAGCAGAGAAACATTCACATAGGTAATCCAAGGCCTAAAGATAACCTGAGGGAGAGAGCTGAGTAAGAAGAAAGAGCAAGGGCTTTGGAGTTCGACAGACCCAGATTAGATTCCCAGCTAGCTGTGTGTGACTCCAAACTAGGCACATAACCCCTCTAAGCTTTGGCTGATTCTTTTTTTCTTTTCTTTTTGTAGAGACAGGATCTCGCTATGTTACCCAGGCTGGTCTTGAACTCCTGGGTTCAGGCAATCTGCCTGCCTCTGCCTCCCAAAGTGCTGGGATTACAGGCACGAGCCAATGCACTCGGCCAGTGTTGGCTTTGTTACTTATAAAGTGAGGCTAATAATAGCTGTATCTCACAGGATGGGGATGAGGGTTAAATCACTGAATGTGGGTGAAAATGATAACACTGCTGGTACATGGTAATAGTTCAGTAATTCCATTTTGTTCCTTGTGTCCTGTGACTGCCCTTTTTTTGAGTCTTGCTCCGTTGCCCAGGCTGGGGTGCAGTGGCGCAATTTCAACTCACTGCAACCTCCGCCTCCCGGGTTCAAGCGATTCTCCTGCCTCAGCCTCCTGAGTAGCTGGGACTACAGTCGCATGCAGCCATGCCGAGCTAATTTTTTGTATTTTAGTACAGACAGGGTTTCACCGTGTTGCCCAGACTGGTCTTGAACTCCTGACCTCGTGATCCACCTGCCTCAGCCCCCCAAAGTGCTGGGATTACAGGTGTGAGCCACCGTACTTGGTTGACTGCCTTTTTAATATCTCAAATCTGGTCTGAAAGAATCTTCTAGATATTCTGAGGGGACATCCCTTAGGAATGAACACTTTTAATACAACAATGCAAACATTTTTGTTTCTGATGCTACTTCTTCATTTCCTTGGGAATATTTAAGTTTAATAAAAAGCTCTAGGGCTGCCGCTGTCCAATATGGTGGTTACTAGCCTTGTGTGGGTATTTAAATGTAAACTGAAATTCCCTTCTTCAGCTGCGCCTGCCACATTGCAAGTGCTCAACAGCCACATGTGGCCTCTGTATCAGGCAGTACAGATAGGGCATATCCACCACCACAGAAAGTACTATTGGATAACGTGGCTGCAGGCCTTTTTTCTGAGGCATTTCATCTATTCCTAATTCCCACAAAAGACTTTTTTTCTGAGACATGGTCACGCTGTTACCCAGCTGGAGTGCAGTGATGCAATCATGGCTCACTGCAGCTTTGATCTCCTTCCTGGGCTCAAGCGATCCTCCCACCTCAGCCTTCCCAGTAGCTGTGACTATAGGCATGCGCCATCATGGCTGGCCAGTATTTTGATTTTTTTTTTTGTAGAGACAGAGTCTCACTATGTTGCCCAGGGTAGTCTTCAACTCCTGAGCTCAAGCCAATTCTCCTGCCTTGGCCTCCCAAAGTGCTGAGATTCACCGCACCTGGCATATATTAACATTTCTAACAGCCCCAATAAATTGATTGGACCTGAATTCAGAATCAATCACAACACCTCCCATTTCTTTTTTTTTTTTTTTTTTGAGATGGAGTCTTGCTCTGTCGCCCAGGCTGGAGTGCGGTGGCCAGATCTCAGCTCACTGCAAGCTCCACCTCCCGGGTTTACACCATTCTCCTGCCTCAGCCTCCCGAGTAGCTGGACTACAGGCGCCTGCCACCTCGCCTGGCTAGTTTTTTTTTGTTTGTTTTAGTAGAGACAGGGTTTCGCCATGTTAGCCAGGATGGTCTTGATCTCCTCACCTTGTGATCTGCCCGTCTCGGCCTCCCAAAGTGCTGGGATTACAGGCTTGAGCCACCGCGCCCGGCCAACACCTCCCATTTCATTCCCTATATATGGTATTATGTCTTCCCTTTGTGACCTGGCCCTGCCTCTCTATCCCACAATACCCCCCCTCACCTTTTAGACTCTAGTCAGATCAAACCACCTGCAATTCCTCATACATCATGCTGTTTCATCCTACCATGTCTTTGTACAATTTATTCCCTCACAGATTTCCTTGTGAACTCCTATTCCTCAAGCAAAATAGTGCTCGGATAGTGTCTCCTCCACAAGCTTTTCTAGAGAGTCAGTTAATCATTTCCTCCTATATTATTTCTGGTATATATATATATATATTCTTTTCATTATATATATTCACATGTAATATATATTTTCACACCTTATATTCACATATATACACACGTTAAAATATATATATATAGATACATATGTAAAATGCAGCCAATGAAATATTTACAAGTCTGCCTCTCCTACTGGACTGAGCTTTAGGAGGACTGAACCCTCTGTGTAATACTAGTCCCTAGCATAGTGCCTAACACATGGGCACCTAGTAAGTCTTTTGTTAAAGTGTCTGTTGAAATGAATAGGAGCCTCTATTCTGTCCTTTTATAATTATCTCTTATTTTTGAACCCTGATTTTGCACCTGTTCCTGAAATACTTCATCTTTGCTGAGTTCAGTCCCTTATTCCAGCCTGCTAAGTCCTTTGGAGAGTGATTAAAGCACCAGTATGTTAGCTTTGTACCATTTGCCCCTCGAATCTGGGAACCACCTGAATCCTCATCGAAGCCATTAACAAAATATGCAGCCCTGGAGAGCATAGACAGAGCCCTGGCTGGGCGCGGGGGCTCACACCTGTAATCCCAGCAATTTGGGAGGCCGAGGTGGGCAGATTACCTGAGGTCAGGAGTTCAAGACCAGTCCAGCCAATATGGTGAAACCCCATCTCTACTAAAAAATACAAAAATTAGCCGGTGTGGTGGCAGGCACCTGTAATCCCAAGTACTCGGGAGGCTCAGGCAGGAGAATCGCTTGAACCTGGGAGGCAGAGGTTGCAGTGAGCCAAGATTGTGCCACTGCACTCCAGCCTAGGCAACGGAGTGAGACTCCATCTCCAAAAAAAAAAAAAACAACCCGCAAAAACACAGAAAAAAACCCCTGTAGCATATAACTACAAACTTGGCAGGCCGAGATGGAGAGGTCTGGCAGAGTTCCGTGGGGATTATCTTTCTTTCTTTTCTTTTTGAAACAGAGTTTCACTCCTGTTGCCCAGGCTGGAGTGCAATGGCATGATCTCAGCTCACCACAACCTCCGCCTCCCAGGTTCAAGCAATTCTCCTGCCTCAGCCTCCGGAGTAGCTGGGATTACAGACGCGCGCCACCATGCCTGGCTAATTTTTTGTATTTTTAGTAAAGACGGGGTTTCTCCATGTTAGGCTGGTCTTGAACTCCCGACCTTAGGTGATCCGCCCACCTCAGCCTCTCAAAGTGCTGGGATTATAGGCATGAGCCACTGTGCCCAGTACATTCTTTTCTTTTCTCTCTTTCTTTTTTTTTTTTTTTTTTAAGTATCTCATGTAATTTATTGAATATGGTACAGAAAGTGAAAAATAGAAAGGTTGAATGGTTGTATGGGTACTTGAAGAAGTACGGTTTCTACTGAATGAGTACTGCTTTTGTACATCCTAAAGGGACCACCCGTGTGCATAAAATTACAGACATTTACTGATGAAAAATGTTTCCTGAGAAGAGGTGAGAGAGAGTCCCTGCCAGGTAAGGCCTTAAAGGGCCCTGAGGGATAGAAATCCATCTGCATTAATGAAATTCCTAAATCAGAAAAGCTAACTGACAAGAAACTTTAACCAAAACTGCAGTTTTGAAGGAAAATAGACACTGGTGAGATTACCAAAAGTAGAGAAAAAATACCAGGCAGCTTACTTCTACACAGAACAAGTTGTTCTAAAGTTCTAACAGTCAGCAAAAAATAAAATACAGATCTTCAGGAAAGGATTCCTTTTCCTTTCATATTACCTCAGCAGCAAAGTCCTTTTCCAGGTCCGTGTAAGCTGTGTAGGTTTTGTTTCCACCCCATTTCTCATCTCGTAGGATCACAAACTCTGTAAGGAAAAGGATCCATGTCAGCAAACTCATTGACAGTGGCAGAATCGGCATTCCTAACCCACATGCATGACTATTTGTAGTTTTTGCCATATATTCTGAACTTTATGGTATGGTATTTTATTATTCTTAGATTGGATGAATGGCACTATTGTATACCCAGCTAGCATCTCAGCTGCTTCAGGGGAAGGCTTGTGGCTTATATCTGTTTTGTTGTATTCCTCTAGTTCAACATGTCTGCCCCTACCCTTACTTCTAACACCTCTGCCCACTCCAATATTCCCTCAGAACCTAGCCTGGTAACGAATATATGAACAATTAAATTACACCCCAACATCATTCATACTTTAATATATAAGAAATCAGAGCAGAGAATCAGGGCAGCCAGTCCCTGGAGGAACGGTCTGTGACAAATCACAAGTATGATCACAGCACGAATTTTTCTATTCTAGCTTGGCCTCTAGGAAGAAAACAGAGAGTGTTACCGGACTTAAGGGGAAAAAGGACATGCTTGATGAAGGACAGAACCCCATTGTTCTCCACATTTCCTGGCTCACAGAAGGCCTTCTTCAGTTTTTTCTTCACGTCCTCCTTCCGATCAAGGAGATCAATCTTGGACTCCTAGAAGTCATGGAAGGGAAAAGGACCTCTTGTGGTTGAAAATGAGAATATGCTCAACTGATATGAGCTAAATTTTGTTTTTTTCTTCTCTGTCGCCCAGGCTGGAGTGCAGTGGCACAATCCTGACTCACCGCAGCCTCAACCTCCTGGGCTCAAGAGATTCTCCCATCTCAGCGTCCTGGAAAGCTGGGACTACAGGAATGTGTCACCACGCTCAGTTAATTCTTCTATTTTTTGTAGAGACAGGGTTTCATCATGTGGCCCAGGCAGGTCTCAAACTTCTGGGCTCAAGCAATTCTCCTGCCTTGGCCTCCCAAAGTGATGGGATTAAGGGTGTGAGCCACTGTGCCCAGCTAAAAAAAATTTTTTTACAAAGATTTTAACATTAGGTGCTTGCAGATATTTTCCTGTGGACATGGTAAAAATAAATAAAAAAATATATATATACATATTTTTGAGACGGAGTCTCACTCTGTCGCCCAGGCTGGAGTGCAGTGGTGTGATCTTTGCTCACTGCAAGCTCCGCCTCCTGGGTTCATGCCATTCTCCTGCCTCAGCCTCCTGAATAGCTGGGACTACAGGCGCCCATCACCACACTCAGCTAATTTTGTTTTTGCATTTTTAGTAGAGACGGGGTTTCACGGTGGTAGCCAGGATGGTCTCGATCTCCCGACCTAGTGATCCGCCCACCTTGGTCTCTCAAAGTGCTGGGATTACAGGCGTAAGCCACCACGCCCCGGCAATAAAAATATTTTAACATTAGGCTGGGCACAGTGGCTCACGCCTGTAGTCTTATTACTTTGGGAGGCTGGAGGGACGCTTGAGCCCAGGAGTTCAAGACCAGCATGGGCAAGATAGTAAGACCTCATCTCTACTGAAAACAAAAAAATAGCTGGGTGTGGTGGTATGCACCTGTGGTCCCAGCTACTCGGGAGGCTGAGGCAGGAGGATCACTTGAGCCCAGGAGGTTGAAACTGCAAGGCATGATCATGCCACTACACTCCAGCCTGGGCAACAGAGTGAAAAACCACTCAAAATCCTGCCATCTAACAAATTAAACTATTTTATTTTTTGTGTTCTTCTCAGGCTGTTTATAGCACACAAAATTGTTATGAATTTGTAGTTGGAGAATAAATGTCTATCTTTTAAGTATTTCTGAGTGGCTACCTGGTCCTCCCTTATAATTTTTTTTTCTTTTGAGATGGTCTCGCTCTGTTGCTCAGGATGGAGTACAGTGGTGCACTTATAGTCAGTCCACTGTAACCTCAAACTCCTGCCATTAAGTGATCCTCTGACCTCAGCCTCATGAGGAGCTAGGACTACAGGTGTACACAACCATGCCTGGCTAATTTTTTTTTTTTTGAGACAGAGTTTTGCTTTTGTTGTCCAGGCTGGAGTGCAATGGCGTGATCTCTGCTCACCGCAACCTCCGCCTCCCGGGTTCAAGCGGTTCTCCTGCCTCAGCCTCCCAAGTAGCTGGGATTACAGGCATGCACCACCATGCCCGGCTAATTTTGTATTTTTAGTAGAGACGGAGTTTCTCCATGTTGGTCAGGCTGGTGTCAAACTCTAGACCTTAGGTGATCCACCTGCCTTGGTCTCCCAAAGTGCTGGGATTACAGGCGTGAGCCACTGTGCCTGGCATGCCTAGCAAATTTTTATTTTTGTTAAAATGGGGTCTCACTGTGTTGCCAAGGACAGTCTCAAACTCCTGGCCTCTAGCAATCCTCCTGCCTCAGCTTCCCAAAGTGTTGGGATTGATAGGATCTTACTTGCTTTGCCACCCAGGCTGGAGTGTGGTGGCATGATCATGGCCCACTGCAACCTTTGCCTCCCAGGCTCAAGTAGTCCTCCTACCTCAGTCTCCCATGTAGCTGGAACTATTGGTGCATGCCACCATGCCTAGCTAATTGTTAACATTTTTTGTAGTGATGGGGTTTTATCATGTTGCCAAGGCTGGTCTTGAACCCCTGGACTTGAGTTAGCTGCCTACTTTGGCTTCCCAAAGTGCTAGGATTACAGGTGTGAACCACAATGTATGGCCTACTTACAGTTTTTATGCTGTATTATATTCCCAATAATTAGTGGAAACATAATTTAACAAACTCCAAACTCTTAGATTCTATCCTAATTTTTACAAATTACATATAATGCTACATTGGACATCTTTGCAGAGTTTTTTTGCCTTCTCTAGAATCATTTCATTAAGCTGCCCAAAATTGCTAGGTTCAAAATTGGTTTTTGAAAAGTATCCTAATTAACACTGCTGTCAACAATGTGTGAGGCTACTGGTTCACAGCAATCAGCCACATTAGGTATTATATATTATCTACAGTCATTTTTCCTTTTTAGGTAATAGGCTTTGTTTCTTATTTGGAAAGAGTGAGTTCATGGTCATTTGAGTTCAGTGGTTACCAAATTCTAGCTCACATGTGACAGTATATGAATCACCTTTTACTGGGTTCCACCCAAACCTAATGAGTCAAAATCTCGTGGGATTGGGCCAGGCAATCTTTTTTTTTTTTTTTTTTTTTTGAGATGGAGTCTCACTCTGTGGCCTAGGCTGGAGTGCAGTGACACAATCTTGACTCAGTGCAACCTCTGCCTCCTGGGTTCAAGTGATTCTCCTGCCCAGCCTCCTGAGTAGCTGGGATTACAGGTGCATGCCACCACACCCAGCTGAATTTTGCATTTTTAGTAGAGAAGGGGTTTCACCATGTTGGCCAGGCTGGTCTGGAACTCCTGACCTCAGGTGATCCACCCGCCTTGGCCTCACAAAGTGCTGGGATTACAGGTGTGAGCCACTGTCCCTGGCCTGTTTTTTTTTTTTGAGAGGGAGTCTCGCTCTTGTTGCCCAGGCTGGAGTGCAATGGCATGATCTTGGCTCACTGCAACCTCCGGCTCCTGGGTTCAAGCAGTTATTATCCTGCCTAAGCCTCCCGAGTAGCTGGGATTACAGGCACCTGCCACCACGCCTGGCTAATTTTTGTACTTTTAGCAGAAATGGGGTTTCACCATGTTGGACAGGTTGGTCTCGAACTCCTGACCTCAGGTGATTCGTCTGCCTTGGCCTCCCAAGGTGCTGGGATTACAGGCATGAGCCACCACGCCGGTCTTTTTTTAAAAAAATTTGTTTATTCTATTCTATTTATTTTATTTTATTTTATTTTTTTCTTGAGATGGAGTCTTGCTCTGTCGCCCAGGCTGGAGGGTAGTGGCGCCATCTCGGTTCACTGCAAGCTCCACCTCCCGGGTTCACGCCATTCTCCTGCCTCGGCCTCTGGAGTAGCTGGGACTACCGGCGCCTGCCACCACGCCCGGCTAATTTTTTGTATTTTTAGTAGAGATGGGGTTTCACCGTGTTAGCCAGGATTGTCTTGATCTCCTGACCTCGTGATCCGTCTGCCTCGGTCTCCCAAAGTGCTGCGATTACAGGCGTGAGCCACCAGGCCCGGCTTAAATTTGTATTTTAAAAAAACTTTTTGGCCGGGTTTATTATTAATATATAATATGTATTTATTATATAATATATATTTACTTTAATATATATTATATTATATATTGTATATATCATATATTATATATATATAATTTTTAAAAAAGGCCGGTGCAGTGGCCTATAATCACGCCTATAATCCCAGCACCTTGGGAAGCCAAGGCAGACGGATCACCTGAGGTCAGGAGTTCGAAACCAGCCTGTCCAACATGGTGAAACACATATATATATAAACTTCTCCATGTGATTCTGATTTGGGAACTACTGCTAGGCCTGATTACCAGGGTGAAGAAACAGCAAATGTCACCAAACAGGATGCGTGATATGATATTTGTCAGAGTAATAAGTGACACAAGGAGCATTTTAATGTGAGAGAAAAGGGAATGAGTATATTCTTTTAAAATATGGTAACAGGGAGGTCAGACGCAGTGGCTCACACCTGGAATCCCAGCACTTTGGGAGGCCGAGGAGCATGGATCATGAGGTTAGGAGTTCAAGACCAGCCTGGCCAAGATGGTGAAACCCCTTTTCTACTAAAAACACAAAAATTAGCCAGGTGTGGTGGCACGTGCCTGTAATCCCAGCTACTCAGGAGGCTGAGGCAGAAGAATTGCTTGAACCCAGGAAGCAGAGGCTGCAGTGAGCTGAGATCATGCCACTGCACTCCAGCCTGGGCGACAGAGCAAGACTCTGTCTAAAAAAAAAAAAGAAAACAAAATGGTAATGGGTTGAGGTTGGAAAACAACAACAAAAACAAAAAAATACAACAGTATACATGCATATAATCACCCATGTCTGATCAAAGTTTGAGATGTCATATTTAAAGAACTAGATGAGTGTCCAGATGTGACTTAAACCAGAATCACCTAGTAGGACTTCAAAGAAAATACAGATTCCTGGTCAGGCACGGTGAGTCACACCCATAATCCCAGCACTTTGGGAGGCCAAGGAGGGCAGATCACTTGAGGTTAGGAGTTTGAGACCAGCCTGGCCAACATGGCGAAACCCAGTCTCTACTAAAAAATACAAAAATTAGCTAAGCGTGTTGGTAGGCACCTGTAGTCCCAAGCTACTCAGGAGGCTGAGGCAGGAGAATTGCTTGAACCCGGGAGGCGGAGGTTGCAGTAAGCTGAGATCGCACCACCGCACTCCAGCCTGGGTAACACAGAAACTATCTCAGAAAAAGGAAAAAAAAAAAAAAAAAAAAAAGGGAGAGGAAGGAAGGAAGGAAGGAAGGAAGGAAGGAAGGAAGGAAGGAAGGAAGGAAATACGAATTCCTGAGATTCCTCAGGTTTCAAGCAGTGGGGATGTGGCGGGATGAGGGTTAAGTCGAAAGGACGGTTTGCGGATGGGTTTGTGGAGATCAAGTGTGAACAGGTTGAGTTTCTTTCTGTCTTTGGTTCCATGCTCTGATCAATCAGTGACCTCAAGTACATGAAACTCATTCACCCTTGATATTAAAAGGAAGGAAGGAAGGAAGGAAGGAAGGAAGGAAGGAAGGAAGGAAGGAAGGAAATACAGATTCCTGAGTTCCTCCCAGAACTACTTTATCAGAATCTCTGTGGACAAGGTCTAATCAACACTTTTTTTTGTTTTTTGTTTTTTTAATTCCCTAGATGATTCTGAAGATAAGCCATGTTTGGGAACCCAGAACTCAACCTTTCACATCTTTGGATTTCCACGCTCTAATGATCAGAATCAAAGTGAACTTTCCCTCAAGTACATGAGCTCAAGAGGGACTCTTGAATATTAAAAGATATCATAATATTAGTGATATCAAGTATTACCCTAGGAATCAAAATGCTAATTAGTGAAATGCAACCATAGTGCTCTCATTAATAAGGCTGAATTTTATCACAGTTCTATGAACAAAGATATTACTTTTGCTTATATATTTTTTTTATCAGCAGCAAAAACCATTAAGTTATGATTAGATCTCATCAGGACTGCTTTAGGATTGCATTTAGGATCCTTCGATACTAAAGAACCACTGAAAGAATTGAATGGTGTAAGGCACCTTCTAACTCAAATATTGGAGAATTCTAGTTAGCCAGGTCACTGTTCTTTTCAGTCCTCCATCTGTCCATTGAGGCTGAAGATTTCTAAATTCAAGTCTCAGCTGACAACTTACCTCTTCTGAAGAGCTCATTTTGCTGCCTGTTAATCCTGGAACCATAGGATTCATCAGATGGACCCGTTTTGAATAGCCAAGTGCAGGGAGGTACTGAGAGATTAGAGAAACACACAAAAGCAGGTATTAGTCTAAGTTCCTCCTCGGTGCCCTGATCTCATCTAACTTGGCCAGCAACTGAGTAGCTGTTATATTGCTTCCAATCTTCTTATACCAAATATAAAGATTTAGTTTTTGATAGTGATTGTAATTCAAGCAAAGTTTTTTTCCCTACTGCTTTTCTATCGTATTACATTGTGAGGCTATTGGATTTACGTCACCGTAAACAACAATAAAAGATGGAAATACATAAAACAACAGGGCAAGCTGGGCGCGGTGGCTCACACCTGTAATCCCAGCACTTTGGGAGGCTGAGGTGGGTGGATCACCTAAGGTTAGGAGTTCGAGATAAGCCTGGCCAACATGGTGAAACCCCATCTCTACTAAGAATACAAAAATTAGCCGAGCGTAGTGGCAGGCACCTGTAATTAATCCCAGCTACTCGGGAGGCTGAGGCAGTAGGATTGCTTGAACCTGGGAGGCAGAGGTTGCAGTGAGCCGAGATCGTGCCACTGCACTGCAGCCTGGACAACAAGAGCGAGACTCCACCTCAGAAAACAAAAACAAAAAACAAAACAAAAAAACCCAACAGGGCAGCAAATCTTGAGCGAAGGGAAGTAAGGTGACTACACACTCGCCTTGGCTTTCTCACTGAGGGTATTTTTTTGCAAACCAGGTGCTGAGAAAAAGAGACCAAGCAGACAGTAAGAGACTAAGCAGGGGAAATGGCTATTGGAGTTCAGGGCTGCAGGAGGCTAGGGATTGGGATGGGCTCCTCAGCCTATGTCAAAATTCCCCACTGACTTCTTGGCTGACTCATAGCTGTGTATGCACATAGTGAGATACCAGGAAGTCTGGCAGAGAACAGGCTCCGGGAGGCTGGAGACCTCGGCAGAGATTTTGGAGGCTGCACAGTATCGGGGAGACAGAGATGAAAGTTTAGGTGCAATCAAAGTAGAGAGGGCTTTCTGAACACCCTGATATTTCAGTTTGAGTCTCTAGAAAGGCCATGTTCTAGGAACAAGGACCACACCACAGGAGTAAAGGCCAAGCTGAAGTAGATGTGTTCTAACAAAGCCTAAAACCAACCCCTGACAGAACCCAGGTGATAAGTCAGTAATTTAGCAATCTACAGAAAACATAGCATCCTATAAACATAATCCAGAGGGTCTACAATGCATCTATAATCCCTTTGATACAATATATATATATATATACACACACACACACACACAAGAAATGGGAAGCAGAGAAAAGTGGTTGACAGTCAAGGGAAAATAGTCAATAGAAACAGATTCAGAAACAATCCAGATATTGCAGTAAACAGGCCATGATGCCAAAATAACTTTGATTGGTATGTTAAAGAAAATAAGAGTACATAGGCAGAATAGGCAGGAAAAACAAACCAAAAAGGAAATAAGAAAAGACAGACAAAAATGGATGAAAGAGAACTGTAAAAGACAATTGGAATCTATAACAAGAATCAAATGGAAGTTCTAAAATGTCACAATGTAATACTGGATTTAACAGAAGACAGGATTGATAAACTTGAAGAAAGTTCAATAGAACATATCCAAACTAAAGCACAGAGGGAACAAAGAAAGGAAAACAACAGAACAGAATATGAAACATGAGTTTTATAAAGTCCCTAGAGGAGAAAGAGAGAAAGAGAGAAGCAGTATTTGAGGAAATCATGGCAGACAATTACCCAAATTTGATGAAAACAAATCCACTGGTTCAAGAAGCTCAGCAAAATCTAAGCAGGATAAATACAAAGAAAACTATAGCTGAAAACATCATTGCTGGTCAGGCACAGCGGTTCACACCTGTAATTCTAGCAATTTGGGAGGCCAAGGCAGGCAAATCATTTGAGCTCAGGAGTATGAGACTAGCCTGGCCAACATGGTGAAACTCCATCTCCATAAAAAAATACAAAAATTAGCCAGGCGTGGTGGCTCACATCCATAGTCCCAGCTACTTGGGAGGCTGAGGTGGCAGGATCACCTGCGCCCAGGAAGTCGAGGCTGCAGTGAGCCAAGATCAATCACTCTAGCCTGGGCAATGCAAGCAAGACCCTGTCTCAAAGAAAACAATAACAAAAACATCACAGTCAAATTGCTGAAAATCAGAAACAAGAAAAAATCTTAAAAGCAGTCAGAGAAAAAACATATTATCTGTAAAGGAGAAACAATAATACTTACAGGTGATTTTTCAGTGGAAACTATGGAAGTCAGAAGCCAATGCAATGATTCTTTAAAGGTGCCAAAAGAAAAATAATTCCAAACTTCAAATTTCATACCCAGTGAAAGAAATAGATGTTTTCAGATAAAAGAAAGCTGAAAGAACTCATTACTGAAAGAACTGCACTACAAACACAAAATACTAAGTGGGGGCTCTTTAGGTTGAAGGAAAATGAACTCACACAGAAGCAAAGAACTGCAGGCAAGAATCAAGAGTATTAGAAAGGGGAAGTAGGGGTAGATATAGATGAAAAGTGACTTAAAAAACAATTATAGGCTGGGTGCAGTGGCTCACGCCTGTAATCCCAGCACTTTGGGAGGACAAGATGGGCGGATCGCTTGAGGTCAGGAGTTCAAGACCAGCCTGGCCAACATGGTGAAACCCCGTCTCTACTAAAAATACAAAAATTTGCCGGGCGTGGTGGCAGGCACCTGTAATCCCAGCTACTCAGTAGGCTGAGGCATGAGAATCCCATGACAGGCAGGCTGATGTTGCAGTGAGCCGAGATCACGCCATTGCACTTCAGCCTGGGCAATGGAGTCTCAGTCTCAGAAAAAAAAAAAAAAAAAATTGTAATAATGTCTTTAAGATTTATTTTATTTTTGAGATAAAGTCTCTTTCTGTTGCCCAGCCTAGAGTGCAATGGTGCGATCTTGGCTTACTGCGACCTCTGCTTCCCAGGCTCCAAGAATTCTCCTGTGTCAGCCTCTTGAAGAGCTGAGATTATAGGTGCACACCACCGTGTCCGGCTAATTTTTGTATTTTTACTAGCAATGGGGTTTCATGATGTTGGCCAGGCTGGTCTCAAACTTCTGACCCCAGGTGATCTGCCTGTCTTGGCCTCCCAAAGTGCTGGGATTACAGGGGTGACCCACTGCACCCAGCCAAGGATTTAAAATTTAGGTAAAAAATGAGTTTTGAGGCCGGGCGCAGTGACTCATGCCTGTAATCCCAGCACTCTGGGAGGCTGAGGCGGGCGGATCACGAGGTCAGGGGATCAAGACCATCCTGGCCAATATGGTGAAACCCCGTCTCTACTAAAAATACAAAAATTAGCTGGGCATGGTGGTGGGAGCCTGTAATCCCAGCTACTCAGGAGGCTGAGGCAGGAGAATGGCTTGAACCCAGGAAGCAGAGGTTGCAGTGAGTCAAGATCACGTCGCTGTACTCCAGCCTGGTGACAGAGCAAGACTGTGTCTCAAAAAAAAAAAAAAAAAAAAAGTTTTGCCGGGCACGGTGGCTCACACCTGTAACTCAGCACTTTGGGAGGCCAAGGTGGGAAGATCACGAGGTCAGGAGATCGAGACCACCCTGGCTAACACGGTGAAACCCCAACTCTACTAAAAATGCAAAAAATTAGCCTGTAGTCCCAGCTACTTGGGAGGCTGAGGCAGAAGAATGGCTTGAACCCAGGAGGCGGAGCTTGCAGTGAGCCAAGATCGCACTACTGCACTCTACTCTGGGCAACAGAGCAAGACTCTGTCTCAAAAAATGAAAACAAACAAACAAACAAAAAAGAGTTTTACTCCTACTGTTGTTGGAGCAAAAATGTAGTAAAAATGTTTCTTGCATTATTGGACAGTGGTAAAAATATCTAACTTAAACTGTAGTAAGTTGCAAGGCTACATGTTGTAATCTCTAGGGCAGGAATGGGCACACTGTTTTAGAAAGAGATAGTTAATAAAGATTTTAGGGGCTGGGCATGGTGGCTCATGCCTGTAATCCTAGCATTTTGGGAGGCTAGGGCAGGTTGATCATGAGGTCAAGAGATCAAGACCATCCTGGCCAACATGGTGAAACCCTGTCTCTACTAAAAATACAAAAATTAGCAGGGTGTGGTGGCGTATGCCTGTAGTCCCAGCTGCTTGGGAGGCTGAGGCAGGAGAACCGGAACCCAGGAGGCAGAGGCTGCAGTGAGCCAAGATCATGCCACTGCACTCCAGCATGGGCGACAAAGTGAGACTCCCTCTCAAAAAAAAACAAAAAAAAAAGAAAAAGAAAAAAAAAAGACTTTAGGCTTTCTAGTCCACATATGCTCTCTACTGCATATTCATCATCTTTTTTCACAATCCTTAAACAATGTAAAAACCATTCTTAGCTCATAAGTCATACAAAAACAAGGTATGGGCCAAATCTCTGCTGTAATAATAAAAGAAGGTCCAACTAAAAAGTTAATCGTGCAGATAAAATGAAATAACAGGCCAGGCCCAGTGGCTCACGCTTGTAATCTCAGTACTTTGAGAGGCTGAGGCAGGTGGATCACGAAGTCAGGAGTTCGAGATCAGCCTGGCCAACATAGTGAAACCCTGTGTCTACTAAAAATACAAAAAAATTAGCTGGGTGTGGTGGCGGGCGCCTGTAATCCCAGCTACTTGGGAGGCTTAGGCAAAGAGTCGCTTGAACCTGGGAGGCAGAGGTTGCAGTGAGCCGAGATTGCACCACTGCACTCCAGCCAGGGAACAGTGCGAGACTCTGTCTCAAAAAATAAAAAATAAAAATAAAAAATAAAAACAATTTATCAAAAAATGTATTTATTTTATTCTTTTTTTTTTTTTCAGAGACAAGGTCTTGCTTTGTCACCCAGTTTGGAGTGTGATGGTGTGATCATGGCTCACTGCAGCCTTAAACTCCTGGGCTCAAGCAATCATTTTGCCTCGGTTTCCTGAGTACCTGGGACTACAGGGACGTGCCTGGCTAATTTTTTATTTTATTGTGGAGACAGGGTCTTGCTATGTGGCCCAGCCTTGTCTCAAACTCCCGGGCTCAAATGATCCTCCTGCCTCAGCCTCCCAATGTGCTGGGATTACAGGCATGAGCCACAGCACCTGGTCCTCAAAAAATTTATATTGTGGCTGGGTGCAGTGGATCACACCTGTAATCCCAGTGCTTTGGGAGGCTGAGATGGGTGGATCACCTGAGGTCAGAAGTTTGAAACCAGCCTGGCCAACACGGTGAAACCCCATCTCTACTTAAAAATATAAAAATTACCTAGGCATGGTGGCAGGCGCCTGTAATCCCAGCTACTCAGGAGGCTGAGGCAGGAGAATCGCTTGAACCCGGGACGGGGAGATTGCAGTGAGCCGAGATTGAGCCATTGCTCTCCTCCAGCCTGGGTGACAAGATCGAAACTCTGTCTCAAAAAAAAAAAAAAAAAAAATATATATATATATATATATATATATATATATAGAGAGAGAGAGAGAGAGAGAGAGAGAGAGAGAAAGCATTTCTGCATTCATTAAATATATCAAAAAACTAAGCCAGGCACAGTGGATCTCACCTATAATCCCAGCACTTTGTGAGGTCAAGGCAGGAAGACTGCTTGAACCCAGGGGTTTGACACCTGCCTGGGCAATACAGGGACGCCTCGTCTCTGCAAGCAATTTTAAAACTAGCCGAGTGTTGTGGCATGCACTTGTGGTCCCAGCTACTTGGGAGGCTGAGGTGGGAGAACTGCTTGAGCCCAGGCCCACACCACTGCAGTCTGGCCTGGGCGAGAGATCGAGAACTTGTCTCAAAAAAAAGACAAAACAAAGAAAAAGATGCTGGGAAATGCGAACCAAATGCTCTGTGAAAGGACAGTAGTTCCATCTGGTAATGCCTCTCCTTGGAAACTGGGCTATTAGGAAAGGAGTAAATCCAACAGGTGTGGGAGCAGCTTCCTGGTTGTCACCAGGCACATGGGCTTTGGAGTTTGAAAGATTTGGGTACTAATAATTCCTGCTTAGTTACTAACTGTGTGATATTGGACAACTTCTTATTCTTCTATCCTCAGTTTTCTCATCTGCAAAACAAGGAGAATATTTACCATACACTATGACTAGTGGGACTGACCATCATAGTTCAATAAACATAGTTGCATACCGCTGAGGCGCAAGTGAAAAAAGACAGGAAAGCGGACACTCACCTTCTCTGCAAAGGTGAAAATCTTTCTCTGATCAACGCCTCCAAATTGGGCATCTACTTTTAAATACTCTTCATCCAAAGCCTGTGGAAAGAAACACATGAACATAAACATCTACTTTATTTTTTTGAGATAGAATCTCACTCTGTCGCCCAGGCTGGAGTGCTGTGGTATGATCTCGGCTCACTGCCACCTCTGCTTCCTGGGTTCAAGTGAGTCTCCTGACTTAGCCTCCTGAAGAGTTAGGATTATAGGCATGCACCACCACGTCCGGCTAATGTTTTGTACTTTTAGTAGAGACGGGGTTTTGCCATGTTGTCCAGGCTGGCCTTAAACTCCTGAGCTCAGGTGATCTACCCGCCTTGGCCTCCCAAAGTGCAGGGATGACAGGCAAGAGCCACTATGTCCAGCCTAAACATCTACTTTATTTCTTCTATATAGGTCTGAGAAAACAGAAACTTTAGGAAATTACTAGATTTTTCAGAAGGTAAAGCCAAGAAGAAAATAAAACAGCAGTCAGCCTCCCTCTTGGTCTCAAAAGGTGCAAAGACAGTTGGTGAGTGCTTGTGGTGAACATTACTCCATGTGGATGTCACGGGATAAAAAAAATAAGAGTAGTCTCTGCCCTCAGGATATGCAGAATCCTGCAGGGAGGGAGAGAAGAAGGAAACAAACCGTAGTCATGCCAAAAGCATCCTACTGAATAAGGTGGCCTATGACAAATGACATATAGGGGGTAGCATAAAGAAGTCCTATGAGAATTCGGGAAAAAGGTAAGACTGAACTAGAAAATAGTGACTGTCTGGGTGCGATGGCTCACGTCTGTAATCCCAGCACTTTGGGAGGCTGAGGTGGAAAGATCACTTGAGCCCAGGTGTCTCTACAAAAACAAACAAACAAACAAACAAACAAAAATTAGCCAAGTGTGATGGCATGCATCTACAGTCCCAGCTACTCAGGAGGCTGAGGTAGGAGGATCACTTAAGCCCAGAGAGCTCGTGGCTGCAGTGAGCCATGATTGTGCCACTGCATCCCAGCCTGGGAGACAGAAGGAGACCCTGTCTCAAAAAATAAAATAAAATAAATAAATAAAACAGTGACTGTCACTTATGACATGCCAGGCCTGCTGCCAGCTCCGTGGATGGTGAGGTAAATCAGACCCAGACTCTCCCTTCAAGAAGCCCAATTATCCAGCTGGGGAGAGACATGTAACAGATCATTTCAACTCAGTGTGCTAAGGGCTAACCTAGATGTTCATATAAGGAACAGTGTTGACATAAAAGAAGAAATTATCTCTATCTAGTTAGACGGGTGTGGGGAGGGCTTCCTAATATCAGACTGTGGGCTAAGCTTGGTTTTGAAGAACATATAGATGTTTTTCATCATGTAGAGGAAACAGAATGTGAGAAGGCACAGAGGTGTGAAGTGTTTAGGGAAATTCTGAGTGATTCAGTCTGCAAAAGTACAAACTTCAAGGAAGGTGGGAAGTAGTGACTGATAAGGTTAGAAAAGTAGGTAAGGACCATGAAATGTCATGCTAGGGTGCCTAGTGTTATCTTAACCAGTGAAAGGTTTTAAGGAGAGGAGAAATATGACTAGCACTGTAGGAAGATGGCAACAGTAACAGGGCAGGGTAGACTTGAGACCCATGGGTCGGAGACAAAGTGAATGGCTCAAGGGCTATTGTGAAAGTCTAAGTGAGAAATATTGATGAGCAAAAGACGATGAGGACGCAGAGCAAGAATGAATTTAAGACATTTTAAAAAAGTAGAATTGATAAAATTTAGTGCATGATTGGCTGAAAGGTAGAGGAAGCAAAGGCTGAACAAGCAGGAATAATCTAGAACAGCATTATCCAACACAATCTTCTGTAGTGATGAATATGTTATATGTCTGTGCTGTCCAATACAGTAGCTAACCAAGAACTTGATATATAGCCAATGCGACTAGAGAATAAAAATTCCCATTTTATTTAATTTTAATAGCCACTAGCCACATATGACTAGGACTAGAGGCTACCGCATTAGACAGTACAGACCTAGTTCTTTCTTTCCTTTTTCCCTCCCTCCCTGCTTGCTTTCTTTCTTTTTTTCTTTTCTTTTCTTTCAAGAGATGGAGTCTCACACATACAGAATAAGAGAGAGATAGAGTCTTGCTATGTTGCCTAGGCTGGTCTTGAACTCCTGGCCTCAAGTGATCCCCCCTCCTCAGCCTCCCAAGTACTTGGGATTATAGGCATAAACCATGGCACCCAGTCAACAGTGCAGAACTAGCATGTCTCCGGGTTTTCTTTTTTTTTTTTTTTTTTAGATAGGGTCTCACTCTGTCACCCAGGCTGGAGGGCAGTGGTTTGATCTCGGCTCACTGCAACCTTGACCTCCTGGGTTCAAGCAATTCTCCCACCTCAGTTTCACAAGTAGCTGGGACTACAGGAGCATGCCACTACACCTGGCTAATTTTTGTATTATTTGGTAGAGATGGGGTTTCACCATATTGGTCAGGCTGGTCTTGAACTCCCCACCTCAAGTGATCCGCCTGTCTTGGCCTCCCAAAGTGTTGGGATTACAGGTGCCAGCCACTGCACCCAGCTCCAGGTTTAACCTTGGAAAATGTCTCTTTGAGGTGACAAGGGAAATTTTTATTTTCTCATATCAAACATTATAGAGGGCTAGATGTGTTGGCTCATGCCTGCAATTTCAGCACTTTGGGAAACTAAGGCAGGAGGATCACTTGAGGCCAGGAGTTCAAGACCAGCCTAGGCAACATAGTGAGACCCTGTCTCTACAAAAAATTTAAGAAAATTATACAGATATACAAAGAAAAAGTTAAGTCTATCCATATTTTCATCTTGCCTTCACAAGGTAACCAGTATCAACAGCTTGGTTTGTATTTTTCTTTCTTTTTTTTTTTTTGAGATGGAGTCTCGAAGCATCTGTCACCCAGGCTGGAGTGCAGTAGCGTGATCTTGCCTCACTGCAAGCTCTGCCTCCTGGGTTCACACCATTCTCCTGCCTCAGCCTCCTGAGTAGCTGGGACTACAGGCACCTGCCACCACGCCCAGCTGATTTTTTGTATTTTTAGTAGAGACGGGGTTTCACCGTGTTAGCCAGGATGGTCTCGATCTCCTGACCTCGTGATCCGCCTGCCTCAGCCTCTCAAAGTGCTGGGATTACAGGCGTGAGCCATTGCGCCGGTCTGGTTTGTATTTTTCTATCCTTTTCCTTGCTCATACAAATATACGTGCACACAAAGGAAACAGAAGGATGTTTCTTTTAAACAAAACATGTATTTGTTTTGTTTAACAGAAAATAGGATCATGCTCAAATTTATTTTCACATATCACTCTGAAGTTTATTTCCTTAAGATTATGATAAAAAGGATTATGATTAACATAAAGGTGTATGAGATAAACAATGTCTTAAAGGACAGACAGACAGCGAAGAAATTATAATGGAAGAAGTAAGAGTATCCCAGGAAGCAGGGGAGGAATAGGAGAGACACACAGGAAGGCCTATAGGTTGGAGAAGAACAGCAAATGCATGTATTTAACTGGTGCCAGGAGAGAGGTTTGTGTACAGTATAGGCATACCTCAGAGACACTCTGGGTTCAGTTCCAGTCAGCCACAATAAAGTGAGTCGCTTGGATTTTTTTGTTTCCCAGTGCATATAAAAGTTGTGGTTACACTATACTGTAGTCTATTTAAAGTGTGTAATAGCGTTATGTCTACAAAAATGTACATACTTTAATTTGGTTAAGGTATGGCCAAAAATGCCAACCATCATCTGAGCCTTCAGCAAGTCATAATCTTGCCGGTGAAGGTCTTGCCTCCATGTCTGATGGCTGCTGGCTGATCAGGGTGATGGCTGCTGAAGGCTGCGGTGGCTGTGGCAATTCCTTAAAATAAGACAACAATGAAGTTTGCCACATCAATTGACTCTCCCTTTCATGAAAGCTTTATCTGGTGCAGGTGATGCTGTTTGATAGTGTTCTGTCCACAATAGAACTTCTTTCAATACTGGAGTCCATCCTCTCAAACCCTGCTGCTGCTTTATCAACTAAGTTTATGTAATATTCAAAATTCTTTGTTGCCATTTCAACAATGTTCGCAGAATCCTCACCAGTAGTTTCCATTTCAAGAAACCACTTTCTTTGCTCATCCATAAGAAGCAATTCCTCATCTGTTCAAAATTTATCATGAGATTGCAGCAATTCAGTCACATCTTCAGGCTCCACTCCTAATTGTAGTTCTCTTGTTATTTCTACTCCATCTACAGTGACTTCCCTCACTGAAGTCTTGAACCCCTCAAAGTCGCCCATGACAGTTACCATCCACTTCTTCCAAACTCCTGTTAATATGGATATTTTTACTTCCTCCCATGAATCACGGATATTCTTAATAACACCTAGAATGCTGGATCCTTTTCAGAGGTTTTCAGTTCACTTTGCCCAGATCCATCACAGGAATCATTATCTATGGCAGCTATAGCCTTTTGAAATGTATTTCTTTTTTTTTTTTTTTTTTTTTTTTTTTTTTGTATTTTTTTAGTAGAGATGGAGTTTCACCGGGTTAGCCAGGATGGTCTCGATCTCCTGACTTCGTGATCCGCCCGTCTCGGCCTCCCAAAGTGCTGGGATTACAGGCTTGAGCCACCGCGCCCGGCCCTGAAATGTATTTCTTTTTTTTTGAGACGGAGTCTAGCTCTGTCGCCCAGGCTGGAGTGCAGTGGCGCAATCTCGGCTCACTGCAAGCTCCGCCTCCCGGGTTCACGCCATTCTCCTGCCTCAGCCTCCCAAGTAGCTGGGACTACAGGCGCCTGCCACCGCGCCCGGCTAATTTTTTCTATTTTTTGTAGAGACGGGGTTTCACCATGGTCTCGATCTCCTGACCTTGTGATCCGCCCGCCTCGGCCTCCCAAAGTGCTGGGATTACAGGCGTGAGCCACCGCGCCCGGCCCTGAAATGTATTTCTTAAATAGTAGGACTTGAAAGTTGAAATCACTCTTTGATCCACGGGCTACAGAATGGATGTTATGTTAGCAGGCATGAAAATAACGTTCAACTCCTGAACATCTCAAGCTCTACAGAAGCTCTCCATCAGAGCTCTTAGGTGACCAGGTGCACTGTCAATGAGCAGTAATGTTTTGAAAAGAATCTTTCTTTCTGAGGAGTAGGTCTCAAAAGTGGGCTTAAAATGCTTAGTAAATCATACTGTTAACAGATGTGCTACTATCCAGACTTTGTTGTTCCATTTATAGAGCACAGGCAGAGTAGACTTAGCATAACTCTTTTTTGAGATCGAGTCTCACTCTGTTACCCAGGCTGGAGTGCAGTGGTGTGATCTCGGCTCACTGCAACCTCCGCCTCCCGGGTTTAAGTGATTCTCCTGCCTCAGCCTCCCGACTATAGCTGGGACTACAGACGCGTGCCACAACGCCTGGCTAATTTTTTTTTTTTTTTGAGATGGAGTCTTGCATTGTCGTCCGGGTTGGAGTGAATGGCGCGATCTCAGCTCACTGCGACCTCTGTCTCCCAGGTTCAAGCAATTGTCCTGCCTCAGTCTCCCGAGTAGCTGGGACTACAGGTGTGTGCCACCACACCCAGCTAATTTTTATATTTTTAGTAGAGACACAGTTTTACTATGATAGCCAGGCTAGTCTCGAACTCCTGACCTCGTGATTCGTCTGCCTCAGCCTCCCAAAGTGCTGAGTTACAGGTGTGAGCCGCCACAACTGGCCTAATTTTTCTTTTTCTTTTCTTTTTTTTTTTTTTTTTTTTTGTAGTTTTAGTAGAGACAGGGTTTCACCATGTTGGCTAGGCTGGTCTTGAACTCCTGGCCTCAAGTGATCTGCTCACCTCGGCCTCCAAAAGTGCTGGGATTATAGGCATGAGCCACCATGCCTGGCCTATATAGCCTAATTCTTAAAGGCACTAGGATTTTTGGAATGTAAATGAGCATTGGCTTCAACTTCAAGTCATCAGCTGCATTAGCTTCTAACAAGAGATTCAACCTGTCCTTTGAAGATTTGAAGCCAGGAATCAAGTTCTCTCTAGCTACGAAAGTCCTAGATGGCATCTTTTTCCGATAAAAGGCTATTTCATCTACCTTGAAAATCCATTGTTTAGTGTAGCCACCTTCATCAATGATCTTATCTAGATCTTCCGGGTAACTTGCTGCAACTTCTACATCAGCGCTTGGTGCTTCACCTTGCACTTTGACATTATGAAGATGGCTTTTTTCCCTTTAAACATCATGAACCAATCTCTGCTAGCTTCAAACTTTTCTTGTGCATCTTCCTCACTTCTCTCAGCCTTCATAAAACTGAAGACAATTAAGACCTTTCTCTGGAGTAGGCTTTAGCTTAAGGTAATATTGTGGCTGGTTTGCTCTTCCATCCAGACTATTACAATTTTCTCCATATCAGCGTAAGTGAAAATTATGTCTGTTTCACTTCCTGTTTTTCAGGTATTCACTGGAGTAGCACTTGAATTTCCTTCAAGAATTTTCCCTTTGGAGTCACAACTTGGCTATTTGGTGCAAAAGGCCCAGCTTTCCGCCTGCCTCGGCTTTTAACATTCCTTCCTCACTAAGTTTAATCATTTCTAGGTGTAGATTTAAAGTGAGCGATGTGCGGCTGGGCGCGGTAGCTCAAGCCTACAATCCCAGCACTGTGGTAGGCCAAGGTGGGTAGATCACAAGGTCAGGAGTTCAAGACCAGCCTGGCTAAGACGCTGAAACCCCGTCTCTACTAAAAATACAGAAAAATCAGCTGGGCGTGGTGGCAGGCGCCTGTAATCCCAGCTACTCGGGAGGCTGAGGCAGAGAATTGCTTGAACCGGGGAGGCGGAGGTTGCAGTGAGCCAAGATCGCGCCACTGCACTCCAGCCTGGGTGACAGAGCGAGACTCTGTCTCAAAAATAAATAAATAAATAAAGTGAGAGATGTGTGACTCTCCCTTTCACATCAACACTTACAGTCCATTGTAGGGTTATTGATTAGCCTTATTTCAATATTGTCCTGTTTCAGGAAATAAGGAGGCCAGGAGAGTGGCAAAATGACTGGATGGTAGAAGAGTCAGAACACACACAATATTTGTTAAGTTCGTTGTCTCATATGGGCACAGTTTGTGGTGCCCCAAAACAATTACAATATTAACATCAAAGGTCACAGATCGCATATAACCATGCAGATATGATAATAATGAAAAAGCTTGAAATATTGTGAGAATTACTAAAATGTGGCACAGAGACACGAAGTGAGCACATGCTGTTGGAAAAATGGTGCTGGTGGACTTGCCGGACACAGGGTTGCCACACACCTTCCATTTGTAAAAAACACACTATCTGTGTAGTGCAGTAAAGCAAAGCGCAATGAGATATGCCTGTCATCAAACCAGAGCAGAAAAGGCCATCGGGCCATTCCATCCCACTTAAGTACCTGCAGTCCAGGGTACAAGAGGCCACTCAGCAAAGGGTGCTCCACTTGCTTTACCACCTCAGCTCCAGCCTTCTTGGAATCATGCTGTGTGACTACGGAGGAGAGTCTGTACACATCGAGTGTGTACTCTCTGAAGAGGAAAGGAAGAGGGGACAGCTGTAAACCTGGGCCTAGGCCTCAGTTTCCTAGGGCAATCTAAAGCACATTAATTTACTTCCCTAACCTTAGCGTAACCAGGGATCTCAGTTTTAAAAATATATTTTAATCACCAACTTTCTTCTTCTTCTTTCCCTCCCTTCTGGCAATGCATGCTTATGTAATTATGTTCTTGCTTAAGAAATTCCAGAGAGGGCCGGGCGCGGTGGCTCAAGCCTGTAATCCCAGCACTTTGGGAGGTCGAGACGGGCGGATCACGAGGTCAGGAGATCGAGACCAGCCTGGCTAACATGGTGAAACCCCGTCTCTACTAAAAAATACAAAAAAACTAGCCGGGCGAGGTGGCAGGCGCCTGTAGTCCCAGCTACTCGGGAGGCTGAGGCAGGAGAATGGCGTAAACCCGGGAGGCGGAGCTTGCAGTGAGCTGAGATCCGGCCACTGCACTCCAGCCTGGGCCACAGAGCCAGACTCAGACTCCCTCTCAAAAAAAAAAAAAAAAAAAAAAAAAAAAAAAAAAAAAAAAAAAGAAATTCCAGAGAGGAGGGTGAGGATTCAAAAACTACCTACTGGGTATTGTGCTGATTACCTGGGTGACAAAATTGTCTGTACACCAAACTCCTGTCACATGTAATTTACCCAAATCTGCACATGCAACCCTTGAATCTAAAATAAAAGTTGGAAAAAAAGAAAGAGATTCCAGAAGCCAATCTTGAAACAAACTAGGCATGGAGCCCAGACTGCAGAATCCTCCTGCTCAGAGGGAGTCTGGAACAATTAGTCCATCACCATCAGTCTGAAGTCAAGATAACACCAACCATACCTCCTGACAGGCAATTATGCAAGACAGCCATCAGAACAAAGACACACAGACCCTGCATTCTCACCACTCCTGCGTGCCTCCCATACCAAGCCTCCCTTTAAAAACACCATGGTAAAATTTAGAATTTAAGGTAGTACTTTAGTACACTAGTTCACCATCTTCTCAGTTTGTTGGTTCCCTGATTAAACCTGCTTTTCCTCCCACCAACCCTTGTCTCTTGTGTCTGGCTTTCAAGTGTCTGGGCAGCCAAACCTGAGTCCAGTTACATTAGGACATTCAAACAGAGCACTGCCTGGTAGCTTCTAAAATGGGACGGACCTATCCTCTCAACTAAAATACTACTTTATTTATTTATTTCTTTATTTATTTAGAGAGACGGAGTCTCGCTCTGTCGCCCAGACTGGAGTGCAGTGGCATGATCTGGGCTCACTGCAAGCTCTGCCTCCCGGGTTCACGCCATTCTCCTGCCTCAGCCTCCTGAGTGGCTGGGACTACAGGCGCCCGCCACCATGCCCGGCTAATTTTTTGTGTGTTTTTAGTAGACACGGAGTTTCACTGTGTTAGCCAGGATGGTGTCAATCTTCTGATCTCGTGATCCGCCCGTCTTGGTCTCCCAAAGTGCTGGGATTACGGGTGTGAACCACTGCATCCGGCCAATATTACTTTATTTTTATGTTTTTCCTTTAATCTTTTTTTTTTTTTTTTTTTTTTGAGACAGGGTCTCACTCTGTTGTTGGGCTGGAACACAGTGGTGTGATCAGAGCTCACTGCAGCCTCAATCTCCCTGGGCTCAGGTGATCCTCCCATCTCAGCCTCCAGAGGAACTAGAACTACAGACATGTGCCACCACACATGGCTAATTTTTCTATTTTTTGTAGAGACGTGGTTTCCCCACATTGCCCAGGCTGGTCTGGAACTGCTGGGCTCAAGCAATCTACCCACCCCAGCCTGCCAAAGTGCTGGGATTACAGGTATGAGCCACAGTACCAGGCTTCTTTTTCCTTTTAAAAAGAGGGCTTTAATTAGTATTTTTCTTCACTTCTGGAAAATGTTCTGCCATTATCTCTTGAAATACTGCTTCTCTGCCATTCTCCTTCAGTCTCTTCATTTGGAATGCCTTTTCAACCGATATCAAAATTTCCCAGTCTATTTCCATGTTTTTTTTGTTTTTGAGACAGAATCTTGCTCTATTGCCCAGGCTGCAGTATAATGGAACAGTCAGTCACTGCAGCTTCCATCTCAGCTCAAGTGATCCTCCCACCTCAGCCTCTTAAGTAGCTGGGATTACAGGTGCATGCCATGATGCCTAGCTAATTTTTTTGATTTTTAGTAGAGATGAGGTCTCACTATGTTGCCCACTCTGGTCTCAAATTCCTGAGCTCAAGTGATTCTCCTGCCTTGGCCTCGCATAGTGCTGGGATTACAGGCATGAGTCACTGCATCCAGCGCCCCCACCCCCTGCCAATTTTTTTTTTTTTTTGAGACAGAGTCTTGCTCTGTTGCCCAGGCTGGAGTGCAGTAGTGTGATCCTGGCTCACTGCAACCTCTGCCTTGTGGTTTCAAGCAATTCTCCTGCCTCAGCCTCCCGAGTACTGGGATTACAGGCATGCACCACCATGCCTGGCTAATTTTTGTATTTTTAGTAGAGACAGGGTTTCACCATGTTGGCCAGGCTGGTCTTGAACTCCTGACCTCAGGTGATCCACCTGCCTCAGCCTCCCAAAGTGTTGGGATTACAGGCGTGAGCCACCATGCCTGGCCCTAAAGTCATTTTTGTATATAGAAAAATATCAAGTGACTTTAAAGAAAGATAGCTTTATTTATCCCAGCTTCCCATATCCCAAATTCTCTTAAGTTCTTGGAGAATAAAAATCGTGCCTGTGTTCTTCACAGGTATAACCCCAGTGCCTAGACTAGTGTCTCGCACATAGCAAGAATTCAATACATATTTGCAAGACTCACTCCCTCACCTTATTCAGGTTTCTGCCTAATGTCATTTTAGTAGAGGGTTTCCCTAACCATCTCATTCAAATTGAAACTCCCCGTTTCCCGAAAACTTTCTCTACCCTGGGCTGCCTGCTTTGTTTTAGCTATTGCCATCTGATACACATATAACTTATTATTTACTGTCTGTATTTCCTTGCTGGAATGTAAGCCCCATTAGGATAGGGACTTTCGTTTTGGCTTACTTTTGCATATCCAGTATCTAGAACAGTGCTTATCATACACCAGGGGCTCCATAAAGATCTGTAGATTAAATGTAAAAATGAATAAAATTTCAGGTACTCTACAAAGGCTGTAGATTCAAAGATGTTCATATGCTTTATTTAGTCATTTCTTTTTCTTTCTTCTCTTTTGAGATGGAGTCTCACTCTGTTGCCCAGGCTGGAGTGCAGTGGTATGATCTCCACTCACTGCAATCTCCACCTCCTGGGTTCAAGTGATTCTCCTGCCTCAGCCTCCCGACTATAGCTGGGACTACAGACGTGCGCCACAATGCCTGGCTAATTTTTTTTTTTTTGAGACGGAGTCTTGCATTGTCGCCCGGGCTAGAGTGCAATGGCGCGATCTCAACTCACTGCGACCTCTGCCTCCCGGGTTCAAGCAATTGTCCTGCCTCAGCCTCCTGAGTAGCTGGGACCAGAGGTACGTGCCACCACACCCAGCTAATTTTTATATTTTTAGTAGAGATACAGTTTCACTACGATGGCCAGGCTAGTTTTGAACTCCTGACCTCGTGATTCGCCTGCCTCAGCCTCCCAAAGTGCTGAGTTACAGGTGTGAGCCACCATGCCTGGTCTAATTTTTTGTACTTTTTAGTAGAGATGGGGTTTTGCTGTGTTGGCTAGACTGGTCTCAAACTCCTGGCCTCAAGTAATCTGCCCATCTCAGCCTTCCAAAGCACTGGGATTACAGGTGTGAGCCACCATTGTCTGGTCCTATTTTTCTTTCTTTCTTTTCTTTTTTTGAGAGATGGGGACTTGCTATGTTGGCCAGGGTAGTCTTGAACTCTTGGCCTCAAGCAATTCTCCTAGCTTGGCCTCCTAAAGTGCTCAGATTATAGACAAGAGCCACCCTGCCCAGCCTATATGCTTTATTTAAAGCCCTAAATGTATCAATAGTGAGGAATGGTAAAGAAAATTATATTAGATGCAGTAAAAAGAGAAATATACTAGTAAGCAAGAGATCTGGGTTCACATCCTGATTCATTTACTTACTAGATATATAAACTTGGGAAAGTTAAATCTGAATTAATTTCCTTATTTGTGAAATAGGACAAAATAATGCTCATTTTAAAAAGTTGTTCTAAGGGTTAAAATGCAAAAGTGACTAATAGAGTGCTATGTACTTATACATGCATATCTGAGGTTTTAAAATTTTTTAAATGTGAAGACAATGAGGTAGCATGCGGGAATTACTTAAGAAACAGTAAGTTAGGCCGGGCATGGTGGCTCACACCTGTAATCCCAGCACTTTGGGAGGCCGAGGCAGGCGGATCACAAGGTCAGAAGATCGAGACCATCCTGGCTAACATGGTGAAACCCCGTCTCTACTAAAAATACAAAAAAATTAACCAAGCAAGGTGGTGGGTGCCTGTAGTCCCAGCTACTCGGGAGGTTGAGGCAGGAGAATGGTGTGAAGTCGGGAAGCGGAGCTTGCAGTGAGGTTAGATCACGCCACTGTACTCCAGCCTGGGTGACAGAGCAAGATTCCATCTCAAAAAATATAAATAAAAATAAAAAAAAAGAAAGAGTAAGTTAGGTCGGGGGCAATGGCTCATGCCTGTAATCCCAGCACTTTGAGAGACCGAGGCGGCAGGGTCACCTGAGGCTGGGAGTTCAGTACCAGCTTGACCAACATGGAGAAACCCTGCCTCTACTAAAAATACAAAATTAGTTGGGTGTGGTTGTGCATGCCTGTAATCCCAGCTACTTGGGAGGCTGAGGGAGGAGAATCACTTGAACCCAGGAGGCGGAGGTTGCAGTGAGTCAAGACTGCGCCATTGCACTCCAGCCTGGGCAACAAGAGTGAAACTCCATCTCAAAAAAAAAAGAAAGTGGCCGGGCGCGGTGGCTCAAGCCTGTAATCTCAGCACTTTGGGAGGCTGAGACGGGTGGATCACGAGGTCAGGAGATAGAGACCATCCTGGCTAACACAGTGAAACCCCATCTCTACTAAAAAATACAAAAAAAACTAGCCAGGCGAGGTGGCGGGCGCCTGTAGTCCCAGCTACTCGGGAGGCTGAGGCAGGAGAATGGCGTGAACCCAGGAGGCAGAGCTTGCAGTGAGCTGAGATCCGGCCACTGCACTCCAGCCTGGGCGACAGGCAAGACTCCGTCTCAAAAAAACAAACAAACAAACAAACAAAAAAGAAAGTAAGTTAAACATCAGAACATGAAATATCTATGCTAACATTCCAAATATGAACAAAACTCACAAAGATAAAAAGCAATAACAATTGTTGGGGTGGTGAAAAACAAGTGAAATATTTTTCTTTCACTTTTCTTTTCTTATTATTTGCTGAGGCTGGAAGAGAAAGGGAGGCTGAATTGTTCACAATCACTCTCCCATATGCTATGAGTTCTGCAAGGCCAAGGACTTTGTTATGGTTATGTTTGTATTTCCAGCAAATACGACAGTATTAAGGCATTTACTAGTCAGTATACTTCTGATGGATGAATTACAAGGACAATGAGTATAAAGTTTTAAACGGTTCTTAATAGGTCATGCCAGACAGCTTCTAATTTAAATGTAAAGAATGCCTGGACTCCACAGGCCTGTAATTAGCTAGTAGCACCAGAGCCACAAGGAGGGTGGATGATCAAGCACTTACTTGCTGAGCTGGTAATCAGTGCCTTTGATGAACTTGAGCTTCTCCAAGGGCACACCAATGCTCTCCAGCATTGCTTTGATCACATTCTCATAGTAACTGACTCGGAGTTCTAGAAGTTCCCATGGGGCTTTCATGTTATCCAGGTATGCGTGAAGGTCCGCAAACAGAATTGTTACCTGGATAAGAGATAAGGGGCTACCAAAATGTGAATTTGTCCAATTACCTCCAACCTATCTCCTCCAGCCCCACCCTGTCCTTGTTAAGTCTCTCTTGGGTCTCCTTTGGGTCATTCCCCAAGGGCTTATAGCATTAGTTCTTACCTCACATCCTGCCTTCAAGAAGTCTGCAATCTTTGACATGGGCACAAAGTAAGCCACATGTGGTTTGCCCGTGGTTGCTGTTCCCCAGTAAATTTTAAGTTCCCGCTCCTTCAGTATCTCCTTCAGCTTATCTTCCCCCAGAACCTCCTGTTGTGGAAGCAGAAGAGTTAGTTTAATGTCGGTGTCCCACCTTGCTCATCCTTTACCGTGTGACAAGGAAAACAAAAGGATGTGTCACTGGAGATCCAGGCTCAGAGCCATCAAGGAGGTCCAGCCATGCTCTCAGTGTGGATGTGATACCCTACCTTGTTTTAACTCGAATTGACTCTCCCTTCGCTGAGAGAGCCAGACAAACTCCATTTTGGCTCCTTCACTTGCAGCCCCTTGCAGCCTCTTACCACCCCCCTCCTCAAGGACTTAACTTGTGCAAGTTGATTCCCAGCACATCAAAGAACGCAATTAACTGATAAGATATTGTGGCAAGCTATATCGCAGTTCCCAGGAATTCACCCGGTTGATAGTACCCTAAGCCCCCACATTTGTGTCTGGCTGATGGTACCCAAAGCCTCCGCGTCTATCACTTGTGATGGATTTAAAGCCCCTGCACCTGGAACTGTTTGTTTTCCCATAACCATTTGTCTTTTTAACTTTTTTGCCTGTTTTACTCCTGTAAGATTACTTCAGCTAGGCTCCCCCTCCCCTTTTTAAACCAAAGTATAAACCCTTTGTCTTTTTAACTTTTTTGCCTATTTTACTTCTGTAAGATTACTTCAGCTAGGCTCCCCCTCTCCTTTCTAAACCAAAGTATAAACCATTTGTCTTTTTAACTTTTTTTTGCCTGTTTTACTCCTGTAAGATTACTTCAGCTAGGCTCCCCCTCCCCTTTCTAAACCAAAGTATAAAAGAAAATCTAGCCCCTTCTTCAGGGCCGAGAGAATTTTGAGCACTAGCCGTCTCTCGGTCGCAGGCTAATAAAGGACTCCTGAATTCATCTCAGAGCGTGGCATTTCTATATAACTCGCTCAGTTACAACAAAGAGAGCCAATGTAAAGTTGATGCTGCTCCTAGTATCACCCCCGATGCCGGGGAGTGGGGACATGCCCCTAACTGCATCTTTGCCTGTAGCTACCTGTAAACCAAAACTAAACTCTAAGCCCCCCAACTGATGGAATGGACCCCACATTTTGGCCAACGGGATCCCAAAGAAATCTAAAAAACTAGTTCAGGCCAACGCAGGAAGGAAGGGTCTGATTTGCCTCATTATACCCTTCCCCCTTTGGAGTATATTTATTCACTTATTTTTTTGAGACAAGATCTTGCTATGCTGCCCTGGCTGGAGTCCAGTTGTGCAAACACAGCTCACTGCAGCCTCGACCTCCAGGCTCAACAATCCTCCCACTTCAGCCTTCCTAGCAGCTTGGGGCTACCAGCGGGTGTACGCCTGGCTAGTTTTTTTGGTTTAGTAGAGAAGTCTCACTATGTTGCCCAGGCTGGTCTCGAATTCTTGGACTCAAGTGATCTTCTGGCCTCAGTCTCCCAAAGTGCTGGGATTATAGGCGTGAGCCACCCCACCTGGTGATCCTCTGGGGTTTAGACACAATTGACCAGCATGAACATTAAAACACAGATAGTAAGATTGACAAAACAAACTCTCTGTAGCAATAAGATACCAAATTCCAACCTGATTCTGGTATAGCACCACAAGACAGATAGCAGACCCTAAAGGAAATCAAAGTATTTTACCCCAAAAGATATTTATTTGACATATTTTGAAATGACCCTGCAAAACTGTCTCTTGTGGGGGGAAATGTGCGTTCTGTAGAGAAATCTCCTACCCATACTAAGTCTTTTCTGGAGAGTCTGACACCTTTTAAGGTCAGATAACAGACATTCACCATCAATTCTCTCTGAAGCCAGCTACCTGGAGGCTTCATCTATATGACAAGAACCTTGGCTTCAGCTGGGTACAGTGGCTCAGGCCTGTAAATCTCAGCACTTTGGGAGGCCAAGGCGGGCGGATCACGAGGTCAGGAGTTCGAGACCAGCCTGACCAACATGGCGAAACCCTGTCTCTACTAAACATACAAAAATTAGCAGAGCATGGTGGCAGGCGCTTGTAACCCCAGCTACTCAGGAGGCTGAGACAGGAGAATCGCTTGAACCTGGAAGGCGGAGGTTGCAGTGAGCCAATATTGCACCATTGCACTCCAGCCTGGGCAACAAGAACAAGACTATGTCTCAAAAACAAAACAAAACAAAACAAACAAACAAACAAACAAAAAAAAACAAACCAACCTTGGCTTCCACAACCCTCCTTATCTTAACTCAGCTGACTTCAACTCTTCAGGCAAAGTTTAACTCTTTCAATCAATTGCCAATCAGGAAATCTTTGAATCCACCTATAACCTAGAACTCCTACCCACTTTCTGGGTAAACCAATGTATACCTTACTTGTATTGATTTATGTTTTTGCCTGTAACTTCTGTCTCCCCAAAATGTATAAAACGAAACTGTAACCTAACCACCTTGGACACAAGTTCTCAGAACTTACTGAGGCTGTGTCAGGTGCCATGGTCTTTCAACTTAGCAAAATAAACCTCTAAATTCATTGAGACTTGTCTCAGATACTTTGTTTTTTTAAGATGGAGTCTCACTCTGTCGCCCAGGCTGGAGCGCAGTGCTGGGATCTCTGCTCACTGCAACCTCCGCCTCCGGGGTTCAAGTGATTCTTCCGCCTCAGCTTCCAGAGTAGCTGATGTTACAGGCACGCACCACCACACTCAGCTAATTGTTTGTATTTTTAGTAGAGATGGGGTTTCACCATGTTGGTCAGGTTGGTCTCAACTTCTGACCTCAAATGATCCACCTGCCTCAGCCTCCCAAAGTGCTGGGATTATAGGTGAGCCACCACACCTGGCCTCAGATACTTTTTGGTTTACATACCTCTAACTCACTCTCCTTCCTTTCATAGCCAATTTCTTGAAACAGTTGTCTCTTCTTTTGGTCTCCATTTCCTAATCTCCCATTCCAATTTGAATTCCATATCACATCACAAATAAACTTGCTAAGATCACAGAGGACCTTCATGTTGCTAAATTCAATGAGTATTTTTTAGTCCTCACTCCCTCCCAGAAGCACTCTCCTCTTTTGGTCTCCTTTATTTTATTCTCTTAGTTTTCCTCTTCTCTGCCTGCTTAGATTTCTTTGCAACTGTTCTTATTTTTCCTAGTCAATAAATATTAGCAATCCTTGGGGCTCTGGTCTTTTATCTTCTTACTCTACAGTCTCCTTAACTGATCCCCTTCAGTTGCTTCAATTACTACTGTGAGCCAGTAACTCCCAAATCTCCTGCTCACGCCCATATACAGAACGGTGTTCTTGTTATCAATCCAATCATTCAAACTCAACGTGTTCAAAATAAAACTCATGCTCTTGACTTCTTACTTCACTCCCCAACCATCTTTTTCACTGGTAGTTTCACTCCTAGTTCAGTAAATGGTACCATCACTTAGAGTTGTTCAAGGACTCCAAAACTGCTCTTCAACTCTCCTATTTCTCTCTGCCTCTACATCACCACCCAAATCCAGGCCCCATCAGATCACACCAGGATTACTGTAATATTCTCCTAACAGGTCTCCCAAATCTACTCTTACTCCTTCCAATCCATGTTCTTTTTTTCATTTTTTTGAGACGGAGTCTTGCTCTGTCACCCAAGCTGGAGGGCAGTGATGCAATCTTGAGTCACTGCAACCTCTGCTCCCGGGTTCAAACTATTCTCCTGCCTCAGTCTCCCAAGTAGCTGGAATTACAGGTGCCTGCCACCATGCCCGAGAAATTTTTCTATTTTTAGTAGAGATGGGGTTTCACTATGTTGGCCAGGTTGGTCTTCAACTCCTGACCTCAAGTGATCTGCCCGCGTGGGCCTCCCAAAGTGTTGGGATTACAGGCATGAGCCATTGTGCCTGGCCACTCCAATCCATGTTCTAAAAGGTAGCCAGAGATAGTCTTTAAAACTCAAAAACTTCTTTAAAACTCATTTTCCTTTTTACAAACCTTTAATGATTTCTTTTTGTCCTATGACAGTATTGAAAAAATTCTAAGAGGCCAGTGTACCCCTGATAAGAGGCTGTAGTGTTTCCTCAAGTTACAGTTTTGGAGGCTGTTAGAAACTATGATAGACTGCTAGTTTGAATCATGTATTACCAGGACTTGTTAAAATCCTGTGCTCCAAGTCTTTCGGTAGCTGATCCCGCATGCTCAAGAGCACCCCAACTATGTGGACACTTGGAGGGTTCTCACCATCCAGGAAGATGTCACATTACTTAGCCTTTAAAACCTGAGTGAGGCTGGGTGCCATGGCTCACGCCTGTTAATCCCAGCACTTTGGGAAGCCGAGTTTGGCGGATAACTTGAGGTCAGGAATTTGAGACCAGCCTGGCCAACATGGTGAAACCCCGTCTCTACTAAAAATACAAAAACTAGCCCGGCGTGTTGGCACATATCTGTAATTCCAGCTACTCAGGAGGCTGAGGCAGGAGAATCGCTTGAGCCCAGGAGGTAGAGGTTGCAGTGAGCTAAGATTGTGCCATTGCACTCCAGCCTGGGCAACAAGAGCGAAACTCCGTTTCAAAAAAAAAAAAAACCCCAAAACGAAAAACCCAATTGAGTAAATTCTAATAGTTTTGTGTATTTTTAGTCTCCAACCAGCACTATTTTATGGAGAGAGAATAGGAAACAAAGAATCTAGCTAGGGGAAGCATGCAAAAACCTTTGGATAAGACTAAGTTGTGAATGGAATAACCCAAATGTCCATCAACTGATGAACGGAAAAACAAAATGTATACCCATACATCAGAGTATCATTCAACTATAAAAAGGAATGACGTTCGGCCGGGCGCGGTGGCTCACGCCTGTAATCCCAGCACTTTGGAAGGCCGAAGCGGGTGGATCACGAGGTCAGGAGATGGAGACCATCCTGGCTAACACGGTGAAACCCCGTCTACTAAAAATACAAAACGTTAGCCGGGCGTGGTGGCTGGCGCCTGTAGTCCCAGCTACTCGGGAGGCTGAGGCAGGAGAATGGCGTGGACCCCAGCAGGCGGAGCTTGCAGTGAGCTGAGATCGCGCCACTGCACTCCAGCCTGGGCGACCGAGGAGACTCTGTCTCAAAAACAAAACAAAACTAAAAAAGGAATGAGGTTCTGTTAGGTGCAAATACATGCATGAACTCTGAAAACATTATGCTAAGTGCAAAAAATCAGCCGCAACAAGACACATATTGTAAGATTCTACTTACAGGAAATGCCCAGAATAGGCAAACACCTGGAGACAGAGAGTAGATTAGTGTTTCCCTAAAGCTAGGAGTAGTGGGTAATAGGTAGTGTCTGCTAATGGGTGTAAGTTTTATTAGATTAGTGTGATGGTTGCACAACCTTGTAAACATACTGAAACCCACTGAATTGTACACTTTAAAAGGGTGAATTTTATAGTATGTGAATTACATCTCAAAAAAGAAAAAACAGAGCAGGCTGTGGCCCAACTGATGTATCACTGCTCTTTGAAGAAAGCACAATTTAAAATTGAACAGAATAAGGCCTGCAAGGCCCCCGTGACTTGGACCCTGCCTACCTCTCCTAAACAAATAAACAAATAAAATGTATAGCATGTAGAAATAATAACAGAAAAAAAAGGCAGAGCAAGGGATGGGGCAGTTCTGGTGCCAGAGGGTTTGTTATTTAAATAAAGTGGTCGGAAATCATGCCTCCCTGATAAGGTGACAACAGAAGCCTGAAAAAGTTAAGGGAATAAGCAATACAAATATTTAAGTGCTTCCGCATAACTTTGCTCACTCCACTCCAGCTAAATTAGCCACAATTTCTGTTCCCTCCATCTGAAATGCTCTCCCTCGTCATTCTTCCATTCTTCCTCTGGTTAACTTCTACTCCCGTATTTCTTGGTAACAATCGGAACATATAAGGAGGGGGGGATCCACTACCTTCAAGGTGCAGTTTAGAGGTCACTTCCTCAGGGAAGGCTTCCCTTCTCTTTTTCCTCTTAAAGCTCCCAGTATAGAATCTTCCAGTACTTACTTGAACCGTAATGGGTCATTTTTAACGTCTGATCCCCTTCAGACAAGCTCTGGCAGGCCCTTGACGTATCCCCAGCGACTAAGCACCAGGTCTGGCACTTAATAGGGCGGTGGAGTGGGAGTCCTGGATTCAAAGCTTGGCTCCAACACAAGGTAACTGGACGGAAGAGATGAGCCCGCTGTGCTTTCTGTGGTACTCAGGGAAGGGCTGCTTGACTGACTGACCGACCAGCAGTGAGATCTACAGCCTCTCTCAGAGCTGCCCCAGCGCCGAGACCCCGGCCCCACATACTTAGAACCCCGTAATGGGGCTCAAAATCACTGAACCTCGGGCTCCTAGTCCCCAACGGCGCATTTCCAACCCCCAGGCCTGACCTGCAGGTTCCGGGTGATAAGGTGCAGTTTCTCTTCAGGGCCGGGAGCGTCCCCCATGGCTCCGCTACCCCTGCTTCCCCTGCTCAGCCCGGCACCAGAGCCCCTTCCTGGGTCACCGTCGCCGCCGCGTACCGGGAACTGTCACGCGAGTCCAGCCAGGTTGCATCAGCTGGGCTCGGCGCTCCGCTTGCTCGGCCTGGACCCCTCCCCGCCCGGCAGTAGCCGGAAAAAGTGAGGAGCAGCGGAGAGTCGAGCAGGTCGATGAGACGGGAAAAGGTGGAGCCGGCGGGCACGGTAGGCGGTGCGGAGGGCGGAGCTGAAGCGCCTGCGCGGGGCACAACCCTCCTAGAGGCGGGACGGTTTCCTGCCAATCACTGCTGGTTTGCCCTCCCCCTGGCGTTGGCCCGGCTGACTCGGGGTGGGGGAGGTCGGGGAGGGGGCGATAAAATGGCGCAGGGGGCGGAGTGAGGCGCAGTCGTTCGCCCAGGCTTTGGCCCGGCTTCCGGAGGTGAAGAGCGGGAGGGAAGAGGGGGTCGGCGTTACCCGGCTTGGAGGGGGATGGGGGCGCCTGTTGCTTCTCCAGGGGGTTGCGCACGCCGTCCGCCCTTTGGAGGGATTGGGAGGCCCACGCCCTGCGGCGAGAAGCATTCTAGCTCCTGAGGTGATGGCGAGGGAATGTCCCTGCCCCCCACCTCCAAGTCGGCAGGCGACAGATGCCCCTCACCCCGCTGAGGAAAAGGGAAGCTCCCTGGTCGTCTGAGAGTCGGGGAGCGCCGTCTGCAGTCCCTGCCCAGTGGGGGTGGGGGCCGCCTCTGTCCCGACCGGCTCGGCGGGAGGCTGTTGCTGGCGGGAAGATAGCCGCGGGCTTTTCTGCCGCGTCTCGCGGGTGGGGGCAGGAAGAGGACGGCCCACTCCCCGGGGAGATCTGAGGACGGTGGTTCCCGGGAGAGGAGCGCAAAGCCCAGGCCTGCTGAGGGGCGGGTGTGCCCCTACTGGGGGAGGGGCGGGGAGAAAACCCTCGCTTCTCCCGCTTTCCGCCGGGAGGCGGGAATTCGCGGTGTCTCCGGGGGAGGGAGATGCAAAGGGCCTTCCTGGAGGGCGACACCGTCCTGGGCCGTTGCATTTGTGAGAGAGAGCCAAGGCAGTATCCTCCAAAGGTTGGGCCTGGGCCATCCTTTCTCCGGGTCCTCAAGGGCTGGAGGCGGCGTCACCAGTTACTTCTAGGGCAAGAGGGAAAGCAGCACCTCGGTGGGTCCTGGAAAGGTCCTAGAAGTGGTTGAATTGCCCACCGCCTGCCCTAACCTGATCTCCAGTGTTTTGTGTATTAGGGACTCCAAGCTCTAGCAGACCTGCCTGAAGTGTTTTAAAGCACATTTTCTTTTTTAAAAGAAACCTGTTGCTGCAGCTTAGCAAATCTGTTCTCTGTGCCCATGTGGGAGGAGAATCCTGGCACCCTCATCTAGTGAAATGTTACCTAAAACAAAGATTTGCAGCCCTGGGTGGTTTTTTCCGTCCTGCGGTGTTTTTAATTACTTCGAAGGAATTTGCAAAACTGTTACAGATAATTTGAGTTCATTTTGATTTTTTGTAAATGTTGTGTGTATTTTATGGAGTGATAACAAAGCTTGCTGAGTGCGTTTTGTGCTGTGTGCTTCGCATGTATTGCATTTGGGAAAGGTTGGAAATCAAAGGCCAGCGGGAGGTCTTGTCCGTTGGAAATAGTCTCTGCCCTTGGCTGTACCTGTCAGACTCTGCTTGGTAATGGTCTTGACTTTAGAGCTTGAAAGAGGATGTGGGTTTGCATCTGGTGTTGCAGTTTTAGTGGCCTCAATAAAGTAAGGCTTTGTGCTCGAAGGCAGTAGGTTTTCTGAGGTGAGATAAAAATAGAAAGGGAACCAGTTTCTAAGGTTGCAACCAGGAGGTTCGAGAACAGAGAGGAGGGGGTGGTAAACTGAAGTGTGAAGAAGGGGGTGGACAGGTGAGAGAGATGTGGAAGGACAGAATGGGGTCACAGAAAGGATGGGGTGTAGAGGAACTAAGAGATAGAATTAGGAGATCGGAAAAATATTCTTCCCTTAAAAATAAAGGGATATGGCCAGGAATGCTGGCTTACGCCTGTAATCCCAGCCCTTGGGGAGGCCGAGGCCGGAGGATTGCTTGAGGCCAGGAGTTCAAGACCCGACTGACCAACATAGCAAAACCCCATCTCTACTGAAAATACAAAAATTAGCTCAGCATGGTGGACGCCTGTAATCCCAGCTACTGGGAGGCTGACATATGAGAATCGCTTGAACCTGGGAGGCAGAGGTTGCAGTGAGCCCAGATCATGCCACTGCATTCCAGCCTGGGTGATTGAGTGAGACCCTGTCTCAAAAATAAAAATAAAATAAAGGGATCCCCATATTTTAAGTGGAGGTTACCAGACAAGTGCCAAGAATGGTAGGCAGAGAAGTAAACAAGCCATCTTTTGACAGAGAAGTAATAAGTAAGGCTGTCTTTGGAATTTCACTGAAGAACTTCAGTTTTATCTGAGGATTTCCCCCCTTGCACATTCATTAAATACCAGGTTTTTTTGGTATAGAACTTTTAGGTTTATAGGACTTTCATAAACATCCTCTTTTTTCTCATGATAATCTGTTTGAAGTTAACAGTATTTACCCCTTTTTAGATGTGTGTTCTCATCTGTGTTGAGGTTCAGAGATTTGAAGTGAATTGCTGAGGTCCAGTACCTCTGTAAAAGATAGTTCAGTGAACGTTAATTTGCATAATTTGCCTGATATTTCAGATGTCTACCTAGTCTGGTCTTTAGTGACAATATGATTGCTGAATTAAACTAGATGAGAGTAGAGTATATTTGATAATTTCAGGCAAGGTCTAGGGGAAGTTCCCTACCGGTTTAGCACTCTTTTTTCCTACCGTTCGTATGCTTTTTTTTTTTTTTTTTTTTGAGATGGAGTCTCCCTCTGTCACCCAGGCAGGAGTGCAGTGGCGCGATCTCAGCTCACTGCAACCTCTGTCTCCTGTGTTCCAGCGATTCTGCTGCCTCAGCCTCCCTAGTGGCTGGGATTACGGTCATGCACAACACGCCTGGCCAATTTTTGTATTTTTAGTAGATATGGGGTTTCACCATGTTGGCCAGGCAGGTCTCGAACTCCTGACCTCACCTCAGGTTATCCGCCCACCTCGGCCTCCCAAAGTGCTAGGATTACAGGCGTGAGCCTCCACACCTGGCCTTATGCTTCTCTTAAGACACCAGGGGTCAGGGCAATGATGGTGGTGGGGTGAAATAATAACTATGGCCGCCAGTTATTTGTCTCTTATATCATGCCTCTAGTGTGCTAAATTTATGTTCATGATCTCATTTAATTCTTGCCACAACCCTATCAGGTAGGTACTGTGATATTTGAGGACATTTGATACTTCACAGAGTATAATCATTGTATCTTTCCCATTGACTTCATAATTTTAAAATGTTTTTATTGTTTCAAGCATATCAAAAAGTATAGTGGCTGGATATGGTGGCTCAATGCCTGTAATCCCAGCACTTTGGAAAACCTATGCGGAAGAATTGCTCGACTCCAGGAGTTCCAGACCAGCCTGGGCAACATAATAAGACTATGTCTCTACAAAAAATAAAAATAAAAAATTAGCCGGGTATAGTGGCATGCACCTGTAGTCCCAGCAGCCCTGGGGTTTAAGGCTGCAGTGAGCTATGATCACGCCACTGTTTTCTGCCTGAGCAACAAAACTGAGACCCTGTGTGAAAAAAATAACAATAATTTAACAGTATAAAAGTAACATAATAGTGAACATTATTATACCTACCATACTGCTTTATCTTAGGTTGCCATCTTTGTTTCAGGTCTCTTCTTGCTATTTTTTTTTCCTTATTTATCGTCATGTAGCCTAAGATGAGATATTGTTTTCTTAAGAAATAAAACGTTGGTGGAGCGTGGTGGTTCACGCCTATAATCCCAGCACTTTGGAAGGCTGAGGTGGGCGGATCACAAGGTCAGGAGATCGAGACCATCCTGAACTCTGGCCTTTCATGCATATTATAAAATTTTGTGATAAATGTATCCATACATAATACCATAAATAATACGTGGTATTGTGATTTTTTTGTTGTTGTTGTTTTTTGAGACTGACTCTTGCTGTGTTGCCCAGGCTGGAGTGCAGTGGCGTGATCTAGGCTCACTACACCCTCCGCCTCCCAGGTTCAAGCAGTTCCCCTGCCTCAGCCTCCCGAGTAGCTGGGATTATAGGCTCACGCCACCAAGCCCAGCTAATTTTTGTATTTTTAGTAGAGATGGGATTTCACCATGTTGGTCCAGATGGTCTCGAACTCCTGACCTCGTGATCCGCCCTCCTTGGCCTCCCAAAGTGCTAGGATTACAGGTGTGAGCCACCACGCCTGGCCTGTTTCTTTTTTCTTTTCTTTTATTTTGAGATAGAGTTTCACTCTGTCACCCAGGCTGGAGTGTAGTGGTGCGATCTTTGCCCATTGCAACCTCCACCTCCTGGGTTTCAGCAATTCTCCCGCCTCAGCCTTCTGAATAGCCGGGACTACAGGCCCATGCCACTATGCCCAGCTAAATTTTCTTTGTAGTTTTAGTAGAAATGGGGTTCCGCCATGTTGGTCAGGCTGGTCTCGAACTCCTGGCCTCAAGTGATCTGCCCAACTTAGCCTCCCAAAGTGCTGGGATTACAGGCGTAAGCCATCTCACGTATTGTTTCTTTAATAAAGTAATTGCAGGGGGAAAAGATCTGAAATCTTTAGATTAAAATACACATAAGACATTATCAGCCAGTCACATTGTATGGACCTTATTTGGATAGTGATTATTTTTTAGCCTTAAAAAAAATATGACATAAGATAATTGGAAATCTGAACTGTTTATTTTATGATAAGGGGTTCTTGTTATTTACAGATAAAATGATATAATGCCTGGGATTTGCTTCAAAATAATCTGGTAAAGGTGGGAAGTGGATGGGGCAAGATTAGCTATGAGTTAATAGTCGTTGGGGTTGAGTGGTGGGTATGTGGGGTTTATTATACAATTGTGTTACTTATGTATATGTTTTACATTCTTCATAATAAATACTTTTGAAAATGAGGAAATGGCTGGGCGCGGTGGCTCACGCCTGTAATCCCAGCACTTTGGGAGGCCGGCGCGGGCAGATCACGAGGTCAGGAGATCAAGACCATCCTGGCTAACACGGTGAAACCCCGTCTCTACTAAAAATACAAAAATTAGCCAGGCGTGGTGGTGGGCACCTGCAGTCCCAGCTACTTGGGAGGCTGAGGCAGGAGAATGACCTGAACCCAGGAGGTGGAGCTTGCAGTGAGCCGAGAGCACACCACTGCACTCCAGCCTGGGCGACAGAGCTAGACTCCGTCTCAAAAAAAAAAAAAAAAGGAAATAACATCAGAAAGAGAATGATTTGTAAAAATTAAAATTATCTCTTCCTCTCTCTATATACCTTATATATGGTGGTGTTTTGTATGCTTTTGTTCCCAGATCTGTTGGAACATAAGCTCAGAAAAGCCCATCTTTTTACATCTGGATGTCATGTCGTGTAGGAATTTATTATTGCAATGGTTATGAAAGATATTGGTCCTATTAAGGTGGCTTAAAATATTTTTTCCAAGAGACCAAAAACCCTCTTTAGTCTTTACTCTTGCACAGTTTGTTATAGATTATACTGAATTTCGAAAGCCTGAGTTTGGATTCTAGCTCTGCCATTTGTTGACCAATCCTGTGCAAGTCTGTCACAGACGTAGTGGGAAAAACATTGCATTTGGAATTAGACCTGGGTTTCAATCCCTGTTCTAACATTATTAGCTATATGTACTTGGTTAAGTTACTTCATACTTCTGAATTTTAATTTCCCAAGAGGGAAAATCTATTGAACTCTCCATTTGGCCAACCAAGGGCTTGAACTAGACATTTTGTAAGGAGTCAGAATTGGGGGCAGTGGCTCAGAAAGGGCATCTAAGAAGTGTCGCTGCTTAACCCCAGTGCCTGTGATACCTGTGCCTGACAACCATAAACTTTAAGTCAAAGAACGTTTTCCAAAAGTAAACTTTTTTCCTAACTGCTTCCTAAAGAAATAAAATAAATAAAATAACTCAGTCACTAATGCAGAGAAATTACTTTTCATAGAGGCAGCTGCTTCAACACCTAGAACTCTCACAATTGCTGGAATACAGTATTGGTAAAATAAAATAAGTTTTAGCAGCTCTGAGTTTAAATACAACAGAAAATGGTTTATTTGATAAGATTAACTTTACAGAGTTGTGTTGAGAGGTTAAAGAGTTATAGAATGTGTCTCAGAGCACCTGTTTTATAATAGGTATTTAATATTTATTTTTCTCCCATTTCATTTCTGATATGAGTACGTTTAACTAGGTCCCTTCTAGTTCTAAAATTCTGTAATCCCTCCCTTCTCTTTCTTTAGTACTTTACTGTCCATACCATTTTATATTATCTCATATTGGTGCTTAATTTTCAGTGTTATTTCCCTAGCAAGATTATACATTACATATTATACATTATGAGAGTGGGAGCTATATCTTGATTTCTTGGAAATCATAAAGAGACATATCATGCAGCTTGTGCTGTGTGATGATTGTACCTCAAAAAATATCTTCTAAAAGAACGCGTGAACTAGGCTGGGTGCGGTGGCTCACGCCTATAATCGCAAGTACTTTGGGAGGCCGAGCGGGTGGATCACAAGGTCAGGAGATCGAGACCATCTCTACTAAAAATACAACAGATTAGCCGGGTGTGGTGGCGAGCGCTTGTAGTCTCAGCTACTTGGGAGGCTGAGTCAGGAGAATGGCATGAACTCGGGAGGCCGAGCTTACAGTGAGCCGAGATTGTGCCACTGCACTCTAGCCTGGGCAACAGAGCGAGGCTCCGTCTCAGAAAAAAAAAAAGAATGCATGAACTAAAGTTAAAACTCAGGGTGTGGCGTGGAGGGTCAAGGAGTAGGGGAAATTTTACAGTTAACAAGGCTACAAATACTTTTCCAAATTATTGAGTTCAGTATTTAAGCATTTCTTATACTTCTCAGATATGTGAAATACTAGCATTTTATCACCTTTCCCATCTGGAAAATAATTATAGATTAGGTCTATCATTAGCTGTTTAAAAACTAGGTTTTTTTTTGTTTTTTTGAGACGGAGTCTCGCTCTGTCGCCCGGGCTGGAGTGCGGGGCTGGAGTGCCGTGGCCGCATCTCAGCTCACTGCAAGCTCCTCTTCCCGGGTTTACGCCATTCTCCTGCCTCAGCCTCCCGAGTAGCTGGGACTACAGGCGCCCGCCAACTCACCCGGCTAGTTTTTTGTATTTTTTAGTAGAAACGGGGTTTCACCGTGTTAGCCAGGATGGTCTTGATCTCCTGACCTCGTGATCCACCCATCTCGGCCTCCCAAAGTGCTGGGATTACAGGCTTGAGCCACCGCACCTGGCTAAAAACTAGGTTTTAATTGTACAACTAACTAACTATTCAAGTAGAAAAGTAAAATGATACAAAGTCTGACCTTGACCTACCTTTATGGTCCCTGCAAGTTATAGTAGTCATCAATTTTTGTTTGTATCTTTTTTTTATTTTTCTTTTGAGACAGGGCCTTGCTGTGTCACCCTGACTGGAGTGCAGCAGCACGATGACTGCTGTCTGCAGCCTCAACCGCCCATCCTCAAGTGATCCTCTCACCTCAGCCCCATGAGTAGCTGGAACTACAGGCATGTGCCCCCATGCCCCGCCGATTTTTCTGTTTTTTTGTAAAGACAGCATTTCACCTTGCTGCCCCGGCTTGTGTTTGTGTCTTTAATGACCTTTTTTTTTTTTTTTTTTTTTTTTTGGCGTTTTTTCTATATATATATTTGAAGAATTGTGTGTGTGAGGTCGTGATTAAGTTTTAGATTTTGGTGGAAACTTAGACATTGCCTAGCACTCCTTTTCCATCCCTTTCCCATTTTGTAAATGAGGAAACAAGTCTAAATGGTCAAGTGGCATACCCAAGTTATTGGAGCTGGCTAGTGATACAACCAGGACTACACCCCAGGTCTTTGGACTCCCACACCAGTATTCATCCTACTAAAGTAGATGATAGTCTTAAAAAAGTACAAATTGTTGGGAGGAACAAAACTAGTTCTCTTAGTTGCATAATTTTTTTTTCTTTGAAGATTTTTTTCTTTGGTGTTCTTGACTCAGAAAATCCAACTTTCTGGTATTACAAAAAAATCAAGATTAAAATTAATACATCGAGCACCTTAAAGCATAATACAGTTGACTTTGTAATTAGCAGAGTTGAAAGTGATGAGAAGATCCTCTAATTTTCTTTTTGCCTGCAGGAAGGTGGGAGTCAATCATTTTGACAAGTCTCCTGAAAGGAACAGCTAGCAGGAACTGAAACCTTTTTCCATTTGGTCTCGTGGCAAAGGCAGAGACTGCTCCAGCAGCTCCACACAGTATGGAAGACAGTTATTTACCTTCTTGTGTTCTCGAATTTTGTTTTATTTCAAAAGTAATACATATTTGTTTTGTGTTAAAGTGTAAACTGAATATTCAGACATTTTACATAATATACATTTATTTTGTTTGTATGTTGTAGATATCATTCCATGATAGTACATACAGGTCTACTTCATTGTATTTTTAAATAATTGAAAAGTACTCCATAGCACAAACATACCATGATTTACTGAACAGTTCTCTTGGTAATGGACATTTAGGTTGCCTCCAGGATTTGGCTACTTTGAACATCCATGTATATATATATATGAAAGACAGATTTCTAGAAGTGAAATTGCCAGGTCAAATGGTATAGTCAAATTACTCTTCACAAAATACCATACTGACTTACGCTTTTACTGATAGTGTGTGAATGCTTGTTTCTCCACATCCTCACCAATCCAGATTATCATGGCATCTTAATTATTGCCATTTTGATAGGCAAAAAGTATCTCATTGTTCTAACATGTATTTCCATGTTTCTGCTAAGGTTAAATATCTTAAAATTATTTCTTGGCCAGGCGCGGTGGCTCAAGCCTGTAATCCCAGCACTTTGGGAGGCCGAGACGGGCAGATTAGGAGGTCAGGAGATCAAGACCATCCTGGCTAACCTGGTGAAACCCCATCTCTACTAAAAAATACAAAAAACTAGCCAGGTGAGTTGGCGGGTGCCTGTAGTCCCAGCTACTCGGGAGGCTGAGGCAGGAGAATGGCGTAAACCCGGGAGGCGGAACTTGCAGTGAACTGAGATCCAGCCACTGCACTCCAGCCTGGGTGACAGCACGAGACTCCGTCTCAAAAAAAAAAAAAAAAAAAAAAAATTATTTCTTATGCTACAAGTCACAGTGCAAAGATTTTGAAATACTAGAATATTACCCACATATAGTGGACTGGAGTTGGTATAAGGTTATTTTCTCTTCCTCAGTGAAACTGTCTTATTTATTTCTCCAGAAATGATGTGCTCACGGGTGCCCTCTGAACAGTCTTCTGGTACCGCTCTGTTGCCTAAAGACAGTGCCCCATTTTCTTGGGGTTCCTTGGATGAGGATGGATTGGATGACTCCTTGCTGGAGCTGTCAGAGGGAGAAGAAGATGATGGTGATGTAAATTACACAGAGGAAGAGATTGATGCACTGTTGAAGGAAGATGACCCATCATATGAGCAGTCTTCTGGGGAAGATGACGGTGGGCATGTTGAGAAGGGAGAAAGAGGGAGTCAAATTCTACTTGATACCCCCCAAGAGAAAAACTCATCCTACAGCTTGGGACCAGTAGCTGAGACTCCTGACCTCTTCAAACTACCTCAGCTAAGTACATCAAGTGGTCATGGACCAACTCCTACTAAACCATTAAACAGACGCTCTGTACTAGAAAAGAATCTTATAAAAGTAACTGTTGCACCATTTAATCCAACAGTTTGTGATTCTTTGCTTGATAAGGACGAGACTGATTCATCCAAAGATACTGAAAAACTCTCTTCCCTTGGAGAAGAGATGAGAGAAGATGGTCTTAGCCCAAGTGAAAGCAAACTTTGTACTGAATCTGAAGGGGTCAGCCCCAATAACTCTGCCTGGGATGGGCCCCAGCTCTCTTCTTCAAACAATAACTTTCAACAAGCTGTCTCTGATAAAAATATGCCTGACAGTGAGAACCCTACGTCTGTATTCTCTCGGATCTCAGACCATTCAGAGACTCCTTCTAATATGGAGTCATCCTGCAGAAGTGGTGGTTCACACAAGTCAAGTTGTGAGATGAGATCTCCAGTTGTTTCCAGCTCATCGAACAAAGTAAGTACATTTTTTTCAAGGTGAAGAGAAAAATGAAATTATTTTTATTCAGATGTATAGTAGAGTTTCCATATACCCGCTATCTCCACACATACACAACTTCCCCTGCTGTGGGCATCCTACTCCACAGTGGTACATTTGTTATAATCTGGCAGAGCTTTGTATTCAGACAAATTGGGGTTTTAATCCTGACTAGCACTGTGACCCTGGGCTAATTATTTAGCCTCTATGTTTCCCCACATTTCTTATCTAAATTGCAGTAAATAATACTTCATAGTATAATAAGGATTAATGAAATAATGTATTTATATCACCTAGTACATAGTATTAAATTACCCTCTGTTGAATAATTACTAAGATGGTAATTCTATTATTTTTCCTGTCTTTGGGTTTCAGCCTATGTCTCAATCTTTATTGCCATGCTATATATTAAGATACAGCACTATCTCTGAGTCAGCCATGAAAGAGCTGAAAAATCTTGGGCAATTTACCTAACTTTTTTGAACCTGATTCCCTATCTGCCAAATGGGTGTAATAATCCCTGCCACATACTGTTTTTTTTTTTTTTTTTTTTTTTGAGATAGAGTCTCACTCTGTCCCTCAGGTTGCAGTACAGTGGCATGATCTCAGCTCACTGCAACTTCCGCCTCCCGGGTTCAAGCAATTCTCCTGTCTCAGCCTCTTGAGTAGCTGGGATTACAGATGTGCACCACCATGCCCAGCTAATTTTTGTATTTTAGTAGAGACTGGATTTCACCATGTTGGCCAGAGTGGTCTCAAACTCCTGACCTCAGGTGATCCACCTGCCTTGGCCTCCCAAAGTTTTGGGATTATAGGTGTGAGCCACTGCACCTGGCCAGGGTTTCTTTTTTCTTTTTCTTTTTTTTTTTTTTTTTTTTAAGATTACAGTTGTTATTTAAAGCACTGCTGTCATACGTGGTGCACAAGTAGTGTTCATGAATATGCTTTTGTAAGCTTTGGTTAAAAAATATTTCCATAAATAGTCTTGTTTTCAGTGGTTTTCTTATAACTGAGAATCACCTTTCCTTTTGCATTCCTTTTCCTCAAAAAAGCAGGATATTCTTAACAAGGATTTTGGGAAGATAAAAGGCCATGAGAGAAGACTAGGCAAAGTCATTCCTGTTCTACAAACCAAGACCAGGTAATGTAAATTATAATTAAATATTCTGACTTCTTTTGATTCTCTTCAATTTCTTTCTTCCCCTCCTGTTTCCTCTTAGTGTAGGGGAAAAAACCCTGCTCCAGGAGTAAGCAAACTTGAAGTTTCAGCACTATCAACTATGTGACTTTTGGCAAGTCAGTTAATCTCTTACCTCAGTGTTTATGTATAAAATAAGGCTAATGATACCTCCTCTACAGGGTTATTTTGAAAGCAAAATAGACATATTAGTGAAAACACTACAATGTAAGATATCTTCTCCTATGCATGGGGCAGCCTGGTCACATATATGATAAGAGGTTAGAATAATTTTAACCAAAATGTTAAAATACGACTAGTAGAAAATCATTTTGTCGTCTCTCTCAAGTCGCATACAACTGCCCTCGCAAAAAAATTCTAGTAGGGGTTGCAAATTTGTGTCATCTTTTCAATTTATTCTCTTGTTACCAGGAGATGGCAGTGTCTCTGCATGGTCCTTTTAAACTGAATCTACTAGAGAAGCTTTTTTTTTTATGTTGAATCAGATTAGCTTCCTTACAGTGAGATTTAAAAAAATTCTTTTGCTTATACATTTATTATATTTATTTTGCTTATACATTTATTATATTTATTTTGCTTAAAAAATTTAATTAGGCCGGGTGCAGCGACTCACACCTGTAATCCCAGTACTTTGGGAGGCTGATGTGGGCCAATTGCTAGAACTCAGGAGTTCAGTACCAATCTGGGCAACATGGCGAGACCCCGCCTCTACTAAAAATAAAAAAAAATACCCAAGTGTGGTGGCACACACCTGTGGTCCCAGCTACTAGGGAGACCGAGGTGGGAAGATTGCTTGAGCCCAGGGGACAGAGGTTGCAGTGAGCCGAGATCATGCCACTGCACACCAGCCTGGGAGACAGACCTTATATAAAAAATAAAATAAATATTTAAATTGTTACAAATAAGGCTAAAGTTTCCTTTGACTACGACCCTGAATCCCAGTTTCCTGGTTTTTTATTTTGTTCACATAATTGAGAGAAATCTTGTGAATTGCTTACAATGTAAGTGATATCAAAAACTCACAACTCAGGCTACTTGGGACAGTAATAAATTTGCAATCTCAATATTCTTATCCACTGACTCTTTAGTACAGTCAGTCAGTATGAGTATGGGCCAGAAATTGCTTTCACCAAGGTCACCTTTGCTGATTGCCAGATATGGTGATTCTTTTCAGTCTTTATCCCATTTAACTTTTCAATTTCACTCTAGAAAGTTAGCTATTTTCTGACTAACCTTGAATTACTCAACAAATACTTTCTTTCTCTAGGGACTAGGTAATCTTCACCTTTCTATTCCTTGTTAGCAGGAGGTTGTATCTATTTCCTTCAAGCTGGAATGCAGTGGTGTGATCATAGCTCACAGCAGCTTGAACTCGTGAACTCAAGTCATCCTCCCTCCTCAGCCTCCTGAGTAGCTCGGACTATAGGCACATGCAGCCATGTCCAGCTCATTTAAAAAAAAAATTTATTGGGTTTCGCTGTGTTGCCCTGGCGGGTCTCAAATTCCTGGCCTCAAGCAGTCCTCCTGCCTGAGACTCCCAGAGTGCTGGGATTACATGTGTTAGCCACCACACCCAGCTTCTCTTCTTTTTTCTCGATTCCATACTCCATTTAAGTTTTTTTTTTTTTTTTTTTTTTTTTTTTTTGGCAATACTGTCCTCTGTCTCTTGATCATAAAGATAATTTTGCCTGTGAAACTTAGTTCTAATCAATCAGCAGTATATCACTTCTCTCTACAAAGCTCTATATTCCTGTTTCTAATGGGCTGTTTTTCTTTTTTCTGGTTTGCTTTATTCAAGGACTAATGTTCCGACGTTTTCACAATCAAATCTAGAACAGCAGAAGCAGCTTTATCTCAGGAGTGTCATTGCTCATATAGAAGACCCAGAGGACACTAACCAAGGTAACATGGTAACCAAAGAAAGGCATAAAAACATGTGATGCAACTTTCTCTTTCCATTGTAACAGCTTAAACTGACTGGGAAATTGTTTAGAATTTTCTTAAAATCTTGAGAAAGATAACTTCCTTACTCAAAGATTTTCGTTTAAAGGGATTGCCTAAATAGATAATTCTCAAAGTGGTTAGGTTAACCAGTATTAGAGAGGGGTCTAAGCATGCTTACAACAGTACATGAAAGGTGCCTCCCTCATGGCTGAGGGCTTTAACCCAGACCTGTACATTTTTGCTAGGGATTTTTTGTCTGAAAAATGATGGAAGTGGATGACCAGGTGCTGCTTATTAATCAGTGGTTTTTTAAATTTGCAATATTTTATTTTCCCTGTTACCTTCAAGCATTTAAATGTAAAAGCAGGCATTTCAAATACCATTCTGCATTTTGGCTTCTGAATAAAAGCTCTTGAAAGGTTTGGCTACCTTCCAGATCCTTCAAGTTGTGTTCTCCCCTCTTCATTAGAAGATAATTGCAAACCAAAGTGATTAGATTCTTTCTCCAGCTCTCAAGAGACTACAGTCTATGTTATCATTCAGCCTGAACTGTTGGCTGATGGGAAAGCTCCTAAAGGGGAGACTTGTGGGAAGAACTGAAGGTGAAGGGGTTAGAGAGGTTTTATACTGATAAAAGAATCACTTCTTAAAAAGATCACTCCAGGCTAGGCGTGGTGGCTCATGCCTGTAATCTCAGCACTTCTGGAGGCAGAGGCAGGCAGGTCACTTGAGGCCAGGAGTTTAAGACCAGCCTGGCCAGCATGGCAAAACCCCATCTCTACTAAAACTATAAAAATTAGCTGAATTGTATTCTTTTGGGAAAAAAAAAAATTAGCCAGGTGTGGTGGCACATGCCTATAATCCTAGCTACTCGTGTGGCTGAGGCACAACGATCACTTGAATCCGGGAGGCAGAGGTTGCAGTGAGCCAAGATCATGCCATTGCACTTTAACATGGGTGACAGAATGAGACTCTGTCTCAAAAAAAAAAAAAAAATCCATGTTCTGTCATCTTTATTCATTCTGCAAACTTTTCTCGAGTATTTCAGTGGTGGTAGGTAGGAAGAAAAGGAATTAGAAATGTAAAGAGGAGTAAGATAGGGTCTTGGCCCTCTGGGAATTCATAGCCCAGAGAAGAAGATAATTACACTGCAGTATTGATTAGTGTTCTGATAGAATTACATATAAAGCACAGTAGGAGCAGGGAAGGAGCCCTTCTGCTTGTGTTTGGGAAAAGTGGAAGATGAGGAAGGAGGATGCCCTAGGTGAGCTCCACAGAGAAGATAATTAGTTTAATTACTCTAAAATCTATTGTAAATCACTAGGGAGCATTTTAGGAGAATTTTTGGTCCTTTTGCAGACGAGACTCTTCTTTCTTTTGACAAATCCTGAATTATATAGTAGTTTTTCTTGTTTGTTTTATAAGACTATGAGTGAAAGGTTTAGAACTCAGAGACATCAGTCAGAAGAATTTTTTATCCCCTATCCTTTTTTCACTGAATATTTCATAAGCAACCAAATATTATACTGATTTATTAGCCCTCTGCTTGTGAGATCCCTTTGCTAGAACTATTTTAGGTCTGGTAGAAGTAGAGAAACCTCTCCTCTCCACCTCTCCCCCCACCATTGAAGGGGCAAATTTAAAAGAAATCTGTCGAGGCCGGGCGCGGTGGCTCAAGCCTGTAATCCCAGCACTTTGGGAGGCCGAGACGGGTGGATCACGAGGTCAGGAGATCGAGACCATCCTGGCTAACATGGTGAAACCCCGTCTCTGCTAAAAAATACAAAAAACTAGCCGGGCGAGGTGGCAGGTGCCTGTAGTCCCAGCTACTCGGGAGGCTGAGGCAGGAGAATGGTGGGAACCCGGGAGGCGGAGCTTGCAGTGAGCCGAGATCCAGCCACTGCACTCCAGCCTGGGAGACAGGGCGAGACTCCGTCTCAAAAAAAAAAAAAAAAGAAATCTGTCTATATTCAAGCTCTGTGGAAGAGGCCTAGTCATGTCATTGCTTTTCCCTCTGTGAGCTGACTCCTTTTTTTATATCCTAGGCAGTTGACACTGATGAAATCCAGTTACGTTTTCTCTCTCATTTGGAGCATTTAAAGAAAATTTCCCAAGAAAAGCAAAGAGCAGCTGTTCACACTATAACATCATTTTTAGTCTTTTTCCCCATTCAGCAGTTCCTCTCCCAGTATTACCACAACAATCTATATCGCATAAAGAATAGCTAGAATAACTATAGTGAATAGGCAGCATACTTCAGTGGTTGAGAAAATAAAGCCTAGTCTAGAGTTAACATCTGGGTTCACATCTTGGCACCACTGCTTACTGGCTGGGTGAGCCATTAAAAACTCATTTGTAAAACGGGGATAATATCAAATCTTAGCTTACATGAAAATTGTACGGGTATAAGGCATAGAACAGTACCTAGCTCTAGCAACTAACATTTATTGAATAGTTGCTGTTATCAGCAAGAAAGGATATTTTTTCATACTGAATTTTTTATAGGTAAAATAGCCTTAAATCTAGTGTTTGTTTTTAAATCACAGACAAAAAATACTGGAAATAGCTTTGATAAAATGTTGATAAATGAAGGTGAGTGGTGAGTCCACTTTCTACTTTTGTGTATATTTGACAATTTCCATAATTAAAAAGTTGTTTTTTAAGCACGTCTTTTAGGGCATTCATTTTTTTCAACATTACAAATTACTCTAAAAATTTCACAGACCTCTGGCACTTCCTTCTGCCTTCCAGGAACCCAGTATAATAAGTTTTTCTGTCACTTCCATTGCCCAGTGTTCCTACATCCAAAAGCGTAAGATTTTTATATACCATATTGCAAGGGTAGGAGTGCTGTATTCTTCACCTTTCCTCCATTTGTATGTGAATTATAGTGCAGCCAGAAGCACAAAAGGGGAGCATAGTACTTCCTGTCCTCCTTTTTGAGATGTTTATTGTATTTAACCTTAAAAAGTATAATTCTTCAGGTTCTTATCAGACACAGAGAAATTAGTAAGGAGTAGATTCAAATGTAGTTCTTGCCAGTTCAGTTTGAATCCTCTCCATGGGATTAGTTATCTCTTTTCACTTTATCAATAATGTATATGTTATTGATGTAGAATGTAACAAAGTAAATCATCCTTCAATTCCATTATTCTAATGTAAGTATAATGTCTTTAGTGCCGCATTTTTTTTTTTTTAAATAATAACACTTAAAAAGAAATACCACTTCCTTTCTGGTATCCTTGCAAGTGGAAAACTTTCTGTGAAACTATATGTACTTAAAGTAGAAAAGGACAATTAAGAGCTTCTCTTTAATCTCCTAAAACATAAATCTGTTCTGTGTATCTTTGCCAAGTGACCATTTAGCCTTTGTTTAGAGTTCTAATAATGCAAAACACATTACCTCATAAGGCAGGTCATTCATTGCTTAGAAAATTCTAGTTGTTAGAAAGTTATTCCTTACGTTGAGTCAAATGTGGCTTCCCTGTAACTTCTAGTGGTAGTTTCTAGTTCTGCCCTCTAGCATTATGAAAAATAACTTCGTTCTGTCTTTCATTTTTTATTCTTTTCTTTTTTTTTTTGGAGACAGAGTCTTATTCTGTTGCCCAGACTGGAGTGCAGTGGTGTGACCTCAGCTCACTGCAGCCTCTGCCTCCCGGGTTCAAGCAATTGTCCTGCCTCAGCCTCCCAAGTAGCTGGGACCACAGGTGTGGGCAGCCACACCTGGTTAATTTTTGTATTTTTAGTAGAGACAGCGTTTCACAATTTTGGCCAGACTGGTCTCGAACTCATGGCCGCAAGTGATCCACCCACCTTGGCCTCCCAAAGTGCTGGAATTACAGGCATGAGCCACAGCACCTGGCCCATTTTTTATTTTCAGACGTTAGAAATAATGAGTCTCTCTCCTACAAAGAAAAAAACTTAAAATCACCTATAAATCCATCCTGCCACCTAGAAATAACAAAATTAACATTTTGATAATTATCTTTCCTGTAAGGTAGAATATATACAGGGAAATTACATATTAATAGTTTATAATCTGCTTTCTTTGTACTTAATATGTTAAGGAACTTTTCATGTTAAATATTTGAAATTAAGATTTTTAATGATTACAAAGTATTTTATTATATAATTTATTTCATCTTGGTAAATTAGATTGTGTCCATTTTCACTAGTAATGCTGCAGTGAACATTCTGGTCAATAAATGTTTATGTACAACTCTTATTTCTATAGGATGAATCCCTAGAAGTGGAATTGCTGGGTAAAGTATATAAACATTTAAAAAACTGTTACATGTTACCAGATGGTCCTGCCCCAAAAAATTGTATTAGTTTTTAGTGTCACCAATTTGATAGGTAAATTTTAACATATTTTGTTTTAATAATTGGTAAGGTTAAACTTTTTTGTTTATTGGTAATTTATATTTAATCATAACTTTTAAAAAATAATATATATTCCATATTCCAATTTCCATAGTTGTCCCAAAAATGTATTTTTGTAACTTTGGTGAAATAGCATCTAATCAGAGTTCACATGTTTAGTTTTTGTCTCCTTACTCTCTTTTAATTTAGGTCACTTGTTTTATAGATTGTCCCACTTTCTGAATTTTGTCTGTTTCTTAATTTGTTCCTCCATTCTCTGTATTTCCTGTAAACTAGAAGCTGGGTCCAGAGGTGGGATTAGATTCGAATTAAGTGTTTTTGGCAGAAATAATTCCTAGGTGCTATCGTGTATTCATCCTACACTATATCCTCCTAACCAAATTAGGAGGCATATATGACACTTAATGACAGGTTGTTCCACAAATAGTAATACTAAGTTTGTTAAGGTGTAAACTGCCATATCTATCCATTGTAAAGTACATTTACTCCTTTGTAATTAGTAAATTAAATGTGGGGTGATGCTTTGGTACCATGTGAATATCCTATTCCCCAACAACTAACTCTTCACCTGATTG